ACCATTTCTAACACAAAAAAGGTAATTAAGATAATGCTAATGACTTTATCAGATTTTTTTCTTTTTAAGTAGTTGAATGAAGTCATGGAATTTGGCTCATAGCAAGAGATCTCTCTTCACACTTTTTATTTATGACTTGCTTTCCACCTACGCTGACACAGCTGGGAATTTACAACGGCACCAAAAGCATTACAAGTAGTAACCTCAGAAATTCCACATTTTTATCGGGCTGCATTATTATGGAACGTTTGTCATGCAGCCCAAACGCTGTCAGTTCTGTAAGTGATTTACGGCAACATCTGAAAGGGAAAAAAAAAAAACCGAAACAAAAAACAAGGGGGAAGGGATAGGAACTCATCCCTGTATTGGACCCTACTGTTTCAGAAGATATTCCTGCCACATCACATTGAGGAACACACAGAACTAGAAAACGCAGCCTGCTTACAAGTGCATATCAGGAAAATGTGGCTGAAGAGGTCTAAAAGCAAAGCCCATCCTTTTCTAAGCTGTAGTCCTATGCCTGTCTACCCAACAAATTCACTGAGACTTACTACAGAATCACAAGTATAGGATTGTGGCTTTAGAAATGTCACACACTAGTTGTATAAAACATCTGTTGGGGAAAATATATTGATTTTAGGTCCTCCCTGAAAAACACACACAAAAAAGATGCAGCCTAGGGTGAACATAATTATTTAACAGGTGGGGCTCAATGAGAACACTGCTTTAATTTTTGATAATATACAGATGCACACAAATCAAAGCAGCAACAACAAAAATGAAGCAGTGTCTAAGCAGTGTCCATTAAACCTAGTGAAATTCTAGGTTGCATCCACCAAAGTATAATGTCCAGATCAAGGGAAGTAATAGTTCCACTCTTTGTTGCCCTAGTTAGACCTCACCTGAGTACTGTGTCCTGTTCTGGGTGCCACAATGTAAGAAGTGTTAAGTTGTGGGTGAACATATCAGACGACACAGAGATTCTTCAAACAGGTCTTGTTTATTCACAGGCCCGAACAGAACTCAACTGAAGGGTTCAGTCAGCCTGCTTATATAGAGCTCCAGTACAACGTAACTGTAACAATTTTCTAAAACTATCCAATCACTGAACATCACTTTCGATCCCTTATTTGCATAACTATCTACAGTATCCCCCTGCTGGCCCAGGGTGAGAACTTCAGTACATAACAAGAAGGATACTGACAACCTGGAAAGTGTGCAGAGGAGGACGAAGAAGAAGATAATAAAAGGTCTGGAGACCAAGCCTTATGAGGAATGATTGAGGAATGTTTAGCTGGGAGAAGACTGAGAGGTGATATTAAAGCCATCTTCAAGTATCCGAAGGGGATTCAAATGGTAAGAAAAGAGCTTCTGACGAAACATTCTGTCATTTCAAACTCATGTCCTATCACCTGCGCTACACCTGTATGAATATCAAGCCACAAACTTTATTTGATATCTGCGTCAGAAGGAAAAATAGCATAGCATAGCTCTGCGTTCCATGAGCGCAGAGTGTCAGGGTCAACCATTTAGCCTTTTTCTAACTAATAAAACTCAGATGCTAGAAATTGTGTGTGGAAGCAAACTAAAAATATATTTTTGCAATGTTTCTACCTCCAAAAATTAATGTGTGACAACATGTACTCTGGAACTGGTTCCTCCATACAGGCACATATCAAAATGAAGGGTGCCTTGTGAAGAAATCATAGTTCTTCCTTTCAAAATGTGCACAAACAGTGTATTTGTCCAGAGGCAGCCTTCACAGCCAACACAAGCGGCAAATGTTTTTTTACTCAGGAATTCCATCTGTAAGACATCTTAAGAGGTCCTCAGTGTCCAGCAATTGGGAGCTGACAATTGAAACTGGAGCTCCTCTATTAGCTGAAAAGTGTTGCAATATGCTTAACAGCATGATACACTTAAGCACCATTAAGGCCCATTGATGTTAATCGGAGATTTAAGTACAGTATATGCCTATTTGCTCTACTTAAAATCAATGGAAATCAGAAGTGCCCAACTTTGGGTAGACTGGGCCTTCTGACAAGATGTAAAGCCATAATACGAAAAGCAGAATTTTACACTTGTTCGGGTCCCACCCTCCTCTATTTTGGCTTGGTGTCAATTCTTTCTCCTCTTTTCTGGAATTTCCCAGGATTGGAAAGCCAACTTGTTGAAAGCCCTCGTCTAGGAAGAAGAGGAAAAGAATCCAAAAGTCTGCCTATCTATGCACATCTCACCATGCAGATCTTTAGCTCTTTAGTCTAACTTATGGGTAGGCAAACTAAGGCCCGGGGCCAGATCCAGCCCAATCACCTTCTCACCTTCTAAATCCAGCCCGCGGATGGTCCAGGAATCAGCGTGTTTTTACATGAGTAGAATGTGTCCTTTTATTTAAAATGTGTCTGTGATGTTATTTGTGGGCCTGCCTGGTGTTTTTACATGAGTAGAATGTGTCCTTTTGTTTGAAATGCATCTCTGGGTTATTTGTGGGGCATAGGAATTCATTCATCCCCCCCCCCCCCAAAAAAATATAGCCTGGTCCCCCACAAGGTCTGAGGGATAGTGGACAGGCCCCCTGCTGAAAAAGTTTGCTGACTTCTGGTCTAACTGTCTGTAAAATTAAACTCTGATCTGTCATTAGTGTAACTCTAGATAGAAATATTGAAAATTGTTGAGTATGAGCATCCAATGAATAATGAGCTTACTCTTAGGAAAGTGAGTATAGGATCGCACCATGAGCAAGCAAATCTAATTTAGGGTTTCTTGCATTACTGTCTCGGAGCTGTGTGTCTAACCCTGGAAAAATTAATTTCTTTCAAAACACCGTTAATTATCCCCAAATGCTGATATCAGTGTCTGCCACCACATAACCACATCTGGTAACAATGAAGACAAATTAACAATAACAGTCAGAAAACCTGGCAATTTGATAAACAAAAGCATGAAAAATCCATTCTGTACAGTTAGACCACCGGTGACTGAAGATGGATTAGCTTCCTGTCTCCAATGCTAGGGCTGAAATTAAAGAGGGAAATTACACTGCAATCTGGATGCCAGGTTCCTGGATGGGGAGAAAAAGAGAGAGCTTTGACTTCACTGGGAGGGGCAATGGGGAGGGGAAAGGACCTTTTGCTCCAGACTTACTCTCTGAAAGATGCAGCCTACAGAGTTCTGTTCCAACAGCTGCTTTCAATTAAGCTTTAAAAAGTCTGACAACTATATAAATTTGCACCTTCAAAGTGAAGGGATTTTTTATTTTTTATTTAAAAAGAGACTCATAATATTAGCCTACAGGGAGCCACATGGGTTTAAGCACATTGTTGAGATGAGGGTTCACAACTTTCAAGAGTCCTTGAGTAATGAAAACAGATGAGGGTAAATTAGGCTTTCAATACCTTGATATACATTTCTTACCACTCCACCATTTTTGCTTAAAAATGGCGTGGTTCCCCCACTTTAAACCTGGTCTAGATGAATTGTACCATTTAACTGAAGAATACTTAAATATGTATCTTTAAGACAATAGGGAATTATGTGCTTCCTCCATAAGTTGGCCTCCAATTCCTATCAACTGCAGCTACCATGGTCAATGGTCGAAAATTGTAGTTCAGCAGTATCTGGCGGCCACAGGTTAGCCACCTCCGCTTTACTTTAGAGTAATACATGGATAACCTCCACTTAATATAGGGCTGCAAATACAATGGCTTCTCTGTAATATATGAACTTTGTACATGCAGGGAGAGTAGAGAACGTTTTCAAGTAAGCCCTCTACTGTGTGCATATTTGGAGGTGATGAAAATTGTATCACACACCCTGAAAAATATTTGAGTCCCCCTTAACGCATTATACACAGGGACGCGGGTGGCACTGTGGTCTAAACCACTGAGCCTAGGGCTTGCTGATCAGAAGGTCGGCAGTTCGAATCCCCGCGACAGGGTGAGCTCCCGTTGCTCGGTCCCAGCTTCTGCCAACCTAGCAGTTCGAAAGCACTTCAAAGTGCAAGTAGATAAATAGGTACCACTCCGGCGGGAAGGTAAACAGTGTTTCTGTGCGCTGCTCTGGTTTGCCTGAAGCGGCTTAGTGATGCTGGCCACATGACCTGGAAAAACTGTCTGTGGACAAACGTTGGCTCCCTCGGCCAGTAAAGCGAGATGAGCGCTGCAAGCCCAAAGTCGTTTGCGACTGGACTTAATTGTCAGGGGTCCTTTACCTTTACCGCATTATACCCAATCATTTTTACCAATATACTGAGTGCGGGTGGTCAAATCCACAGGCATAGGATGTGGGATATCTGGCTTGGCAATGCTATATGAGCAAAGAACCTTGAGCTTGTAGTCTCAGGATGATCATGCCAGCAGTGTTAATGTGGCTGCAAAACACAATTTTAGGTTGCATTAACAGAACCATCGTTTCCAAGACTCAAAAAGTAATAGTTCCAGCCAGACCTCGTCTGGAATACTGCATAAAGTTCTGGTCACAGCATTATGAGGATATAGACAAATCGGAAAAGGTTCAGAGGAAGGCAACAATGCTAGTCAGTGGTTGTAGGAAGTAACTTAAGTCTCTAGAGTAGCACCGAGGAATCTCTGGCCTGCAGGCCAAATGAAGGCCTTGTTTGGTCCATGAGGTTGCTTAGGCCAAACCATGCTCACCTGTCCTGCATGATCTCAATGGGGGACAAGTAAAGACGCAGCTCCCTACCAAAAGGGACCAGCTGACCATCATCACCTTCAAAACCCTGTGCTTTTGCCCTTTCGGTTTGTGGAAAGGTACTTTCCCCAAAGGTATTGGGACCTGTGATTTTTAACTTGTAACCTGGAATGCACTGTGGACATCAAAACTGTTCTGGGTCTTCCCAAACTGGGAAGCATTGAAATGGCAAATGCGATTCAACATAAGCAAGTGCTAAGGGAAGTACATCAGGGCAAAACAGTCTAACTTTCCATATACAGTGGTACCTTGTGTTGCGTAACCTCCAGGTTCGGGTTATGGGTATACTTCCAGGTTTTGCCGCTCATGCATGTGCAGAAGCACTCTATCGCGCTGTGCATGCGTGCAGAAGTGCCGCCTCTAGTTACGGATTTTTCAGGGTGCGCATGGCACCCCGGAATGAATTAAATCTGTAACCAGAGGTACCACTGTACAGCTTTGGAGTCTGAACTGACAGTGACTGATGGCGAAAGTGTTAGGATATGTGCAGTGTAGCCCCACCACAAGTACTTTGTCCATCAGAGTGTTTTGGCTCAAACAGAGCAGGGTGGCTTTTGCTGTTTTCGAGTGAGGATACGTAAGAAGTAATGTTCCCAGTTACTTCTTTACAATTAGAAGACTTCACCAGCTGTAAGCTTTGTTCCGTTCCTAGGTAGGTAACCTTCTGAAAGTGTTATGAAAATACTTTATTGGGGTATGCTTTCATAAAGCAGGCTTAACAGACTGTTGAATTACTTGGTAAACAGGGTTTTAAACTATTTTTCGATCTTTGGCAAAAAAATAATAATGGGACATTGCTACATTTTTAGAGATGATTTTGTTTGGGAAACTGAAATGGTAAAATAACAAGCATAAAATGATTAACTAATATTCATTTGGGAATGTTTTCCAGTGGCACGCAATCAAAGATTCATACAAATCAAACATGTCTGCCTTAAGGAATGCATCACATGTGGATGGGCTGTTTCTTTGCATGTGCAAAGCTCTACATACAACTTGGAATTAGGCCAATGTATGGTGGGTTTGAATATGCTGTTCCTCATTTCGCTCTGCAGAACTGTGATGCACATTGGCGAAGCTGCCTAAATCACAAGTAGCAGCTCAAGTAAAATAATGAACGCTATCTGGAAAAGGAGACTTACAAGTGCCTTTGTTCAGATGCCAAATATTCTGCTATGGGCGCTTATGCACTGTACTGCAGACAAATTGGTGAGAAGATGGTTGGAGGAGGGAAACGACTTTTTCATTTCTCTGAACATAAAAAGCCGGCTGTATATTTCTTTTTATTACAGTGCTTCAAGTGCACAAGGCAGCCCAATGTATTAAAAAGTGATATGGAAATATGACCATTTTACCTGCTTATAACTTTGGAATGACCATTAAATGCGCACGCGCACCCACACACACACCCTTGGAAACAAAACATGTACATATGTTGGTATTCCTTTAGAACGCTTTAGCACCCATTTCAACAAAATGAAATCTGTCTTAGTAACAAATGCATAGTTATTATTCACACCGTTAATTTACAAAAAGGTACCATTCAGTTAAAACAAAGCTATAAAATTATTAGAAATATATTCTATAAGGAATGTATAATCTGCATAAAAATGTATAATGTTTTGGCAATAAAACTGCATCTGTATTAAAAAAATGTATTTCTTTCTTTCTTTCTGAATCATAGCCCTAATAAAAAACAAGTATGGAGTGCCTTCTTTCCTCTCCTTTTTTAAATAATGTCCACTTTGAGGTAGTATATTCCTTTGGTTCATAAATCCGCTTGCAGGGTAGAGGGGGAGCTATGTATCCAACTCAGAGAACCGAAAAGCAGGAGTCCTAAAATTTTCAGCAGCCTGTCCATATATACAATTGCCACTGTCCCCTTCATGAAACGTCCGGTCTTTTCTGTTATCATCCTCAGACTCTGAGTCAAAATTCAGTGATTCACGAGGATGATTTTGAGAAGCTCTTGGCTGCCAAATTGAAGGCTGCCTACAACTTGAGAAGGAATCAAGCTGGTGTCTCCATATAGGTTTTCCAAATGTTCCTGAAAGACACACAAGAGAGAAAATGTGTCAAGTGCTCTCCATTAAGAAGGGACAAAAGGCCACCCCACAGACCAGTGAAATGTTCTTAAATCAGATTCACCTTTCTACCTCTGCCTTTTGACACAGTTAAATGTTGAAGTTCGTGACAAGATGCATTTTTAAAATAGTCAACTCCCTGAGTTTAGCCAGAGGCTACATGTGGCTGCAGATTTTCACTCAACACTATTGCCAGCTGGTTGGGGAATTCTGTGTGCAAATGGGTGCTGAATGCTGAATTTCCCAACCCAATGTTGAAATAATAACAATAATTTAATAATTTATTATTTGCACCCCAGCCACTCTGGGCGGCTTCCACAAAGACCAAAAATACACTAATAATGGAGACTGCATGCCCATGGTTCCCATTTATTTGCTTTTTCAAGGCTATTTTAACCACTGAAAGCATACCCATGAAAGTGCCGCTTGTAGTAAGAGGAGGCAGCTCTTGATTTCTGCTAAATTCACTTGCATCCAAATTCAGATGCAAGCTTCTTGTTCCACTGTCTTCACGCTGAGTGTAAGCAGAGGGGAGCAATTTACTGCTTGGAGGGTGTATTCCAGAAATGCTGATATACTGGTCAAAAGGATCTTCAGGCGGGTGGGGATAGGGGTAGCATTCCTTTTCCTTCAAGCAGCTTGAGTCATACAGGTCCGCACACACTGTCCTTTGCTCTGGATTGCAGCCTTAAACAAACAGCATAAGCAAAAAAACAAGGTTGGGTTAGCTTCGCTAAGCAAAAGAGAACCTTCAAAAAGAGACAATGAAATGCAGCAAACTATTTTATATATACATATGGAATGAAGATTACCTGCGTGGTATACATCAAACATATCTGGGCCACATATATTGCTTTTCAAATATATACTTCCTGAAGTTCCCAGATAATGACATAAGAATGGATCTGTTACAGCTTCCAAGTCATTTTCGCTGCAGTTATCTGTATGACAAATTCCTTCAAAAGAGAAATGGTGTATAGGTCAGGATCCCTTTAACAGTTATATATGAATACATATTATAAAAAAGCTATGCAGTGAATAATTTTTTATTGATTTCAAAGCAATATTATTTTGAGGTACAGTGGTACCTCGGGTTACATACGCTTCAGGCTACATACGCTTCAGGTTACAGACTCTGCTAACCCAGAAATAGTGCTTCAGGTTAAGAACTTTGCTACAGGATGAGAACCGAAATTGTGCTCTGGTGGTGCGAAAGCAGCAGGAGGCCCCATTAGCTAAAATGGTGCTTCAGGTTAAGAACAGTTTCAGGTTAAGTACGGACCTCGGGAACGAATTAAGTACTTAACCCGAGGTACCACTGTACTCGTTTATTTCTTTATTAAGTGTATTTAGAGTCCACCCTTCACCCAAAGGTCCCAGATATCATACTAATTTGAGACCTTAATGAGATTTTTCAGAGTTAGTGGTTTCCAGTGTTAAGAGTTGTGCACCCTTAACATCCAGTTCTACAGAATCTATTTAGATGGTGTAGAACTGACCACGCTGTGGGACCTCTCAGCTTTCTGTGAAAATGCCCCTAAATTCTAGAAGTAGCTTGTCAAAGGTGTGGAAAAGCTGCTGCTTGGGCAGGGTGGTGGCAGAGAGGATCTCCTAACAACATTCCTTACGAAGAACTGGCTGTGCAGCCCTCTAGATCAGTCATTGCCAGGGTCACTGTGATAATGTTCCTTGTCAAGTTAGGTGCACTTATTCTGGCACAAGATTTCCTCAACAGCGAGAGCTAGAACAAGGGTGTGGAATCTGTGGCCCACAAGCTGTTGTCCCATCATCTCTGATCATTAGTTGAGGCTGATGGGAGTTGCAAGATTATTATTATTATTATTTACAGTAATACCTCTGTGAACGTCCGCCTTGTCTAGCGTCCATTCCAGTGAATGTCCGCAGCAAACCCGGATGTACCAGGATGGGTTACTTCCGGGTTTGCCGCTTGCGCATGTGCAGCTCTAAATTGCACTTCGCGCATGAGCAGAAGCGCAAACCACTCCATGCGTGAGCGCAGATGTGGCGCTTTGCCCTGCGTCCTTTTTGGCTAGCAGCCAGGGCTCCGGAACGGATCCCAGCTGCAAAACAAGGTACGACTGTATTGTTTATACCCTGCCCATCTGGCTGGGTTTCCCTGGCCACACTGGGCAGCTCCCAACCGAATATTAAAAACATGATAAAGCATTAAACATTAAAAAACTTCCCTACACAGGGTTGCCTTCAGATGCCCCTGGGGAGCCACAGTCTCCCCACCTCTGATCTAGAGCGTTAAGTAGGGCACAAAATATGGCTGCCACACCAAGTCCTTCTGTTGCATCTCACAGAAAGAACCAGTGGATACAGACTTTGCCTTCTGAATATGGAAGACTTGGGAAAGTACTAACTTGGAAAAAAGCACCTCTGCTTGATGCTGGGGAATGGGGTAAAACTGAACTTATCCTGTCAAGACAGAAAGGTCTCAGCTGACTCTCTTGCTGAAAAAGCTTGGTAGCATTCGGATCAGTACTGTATTGATGTCCTTGGCCAGTGGTTGAAAAGTTTGGCTCCAGGTGGAAAATAAAATGAAATAAAATGCACAAGAAAAATCTCCAAGCCATTTCCTGGAAGCACTCCCCAGCAGGATAAAAACTTATGAATTTGCATCTGTATACACCGATGATCTACTACTGAATGTTAAAAGGTGGCAAGTGTTTTGATATTCCAATATCCTTTAAGGGACCATAGCCATTAGTTGACAATTTTCTCATCAACAGAGTCTATCTGTTGAAGAAGGTACCCTCCATGAATTAAGGACAATAGTGATTGGATCTCTAGCTTTCGGATGGTACAATTCAACGTTTTGAATGCTTACCACCGCTGTCTCTTTGTTGTAAGAAATATCCTCCCATGGATGAGGATGAAGATACAAAATGATGTTGACTTCCATTCTCCAATGACCCATATCCATCTTGCCTTTCAGCTAGAGTTCCCTGGGATGACAGATAGCTTGGAATATCAGCAGGCAGATTTGTCTCATCTGCGATTTAAGCAAACACACGGAGCTATCAGCATCGAGATTCTTTGCTGCATTTTAAGGCTAATGAGCAACAGAGGGATGTATTTGAAAAGCTATTCGCTCTTCTGAATCGGAGTCAAGAGACACAAATAAGCCTGGAAGAAAAACCTCTGTAGGTTAACCACAAACATATTTCAGCTCTGCTCTTCCGGTGCCAAGTTTCAGTTTACACACCTGTGTTTGTGATGCTGCAATCTTCATTTCTCCTTCTTGTGTGGTATATGATGACCACCCACACGAGGGAAGTGCCCACCACGCAGCACACCACAGCTATGATCACAACGCCCACAGTGGCCCATCCATCATCGTCCAAAGACGGGGCAGCGTTCTGAGGAGAGTCACAGGTTGGCGTGGGAATTACGCTGAGGCGGATGTTGCCTCTCTCTGTCCCAAGAGTATTAGACATTTCGCACGTGTACTTCCCAGCGTCTTCAAAGTCTGTGTCCACAATGATGAGCAACTGGTTTCCTGCTGCAAAGAAATGCCTCTCCGTCACCTTCAGAGTGCTGTCGTCTTTGGTCCAGTTAAGCCGAGGAGGGGGGCTACCACCAGCGATGCACTGCAAGACGGCCGTTTCCCCTTTCGTCACCGTCCGGTCCAGCAAAGGCCTCAAAAACGAGGGCGTTTCTGAAGGAAAGAGGGGGAGCAGCAAATATATGAATGTTACCAAGAATGAATCTTTATTTGCGTCAGCCATCAGCAATAAAACAACAATACGATATACAAAGAATAGAAAGAAAAAGTCAATTGTATAAAATACATTTTAAGGTTTTGAATTAATAGTCAAATAGTGGATCTTATTCTGATTGCCCCAGCTAAAAACCTTGCAACCTTTGCTCTCACCTGCTCATCTTGATCTGCCAAGAGAAAGGACACTGTGGCAGTGGTTGGGTGACCCAGAATGGACAATAAAAGAGGGGTGAAAATCTCATTCCTCAAATCTTTATAAAGAGTGCAAGCCAGAAGGGCATGCGCCACTGATTTGGTACTGCCATCTCTGCAAGGACATAAGCGTTTTTTGTGTGGAATCTGTTGGAATCGTCCCTCAAGTACAGCCAAGGGCAATACATTCAATCTTGAGAGAGTAAAAACGTGTCTATATTTTAGAATTGCTAGGTTATGCAGATAGGGTGCCAGAGAGTTGAAATGGGACGGTGGAAAATAGTCATACAATGGGCAAAATTTCCTTATAGTGGCCAGGTTGTTCTGACGCTCGGTATCATTTAGGTGCTGACAAATTAGACTGTTTGCTTTACTAAAACCCAAAGTGAGTAGCTGTTGTGGTGATAAACCATAAGAGTGAAGTTTTTGATAGACAATTTTAGTCCAGGCGCTCTTGTGACAATCTTGCAGCACTAGGGATATTTGAGTCCAAGTCTAAAAATATCTCTAAAGCTTTAATCATGTTATCAGCAAGCAAAGACAAAGGGGCACCCCCAGTGTTCAGTTGGCAATCACATTTTATCTCACCTAACACTGTTAATGTTGCATTAGCAGAGATGCTCCCAGCAGTGTTCTGAGCTGTGCAGCTGTAGACACCAGTATCTTCGATTTTGACATCCACTATAAAGAAGACATCGTCCTCAGGCATCACATGCATGCGTCTCTTACGTGCTGCGGGAAAGTCAGTGCCGCCATCTTTCTGCCAAGCGATCTGGGGCACCGGGTGGCCAACTGCAGCACATTCCAGTCGTGCCATCGCCCCTGCACGGATGGTGAGGTCCATGGGCATCTTGGTAAATGAAGGAAGCACTACAAAAAACACAAAAGATGCAAAAAGATACAAGTGAGTCTTCTTATTAGACAGCATACAGACCACAGTTTTCAGTATGCCCATACAATGTAAGTGGAATCGGTGTCGCCATCGATTCATGGACAATTGTTTCCCCTGCTCTCTACCAGCTCAGCTGGGTCTAGATTTTTTAATGCCCAACTCCGAAAGAAACATCTGCAAGCTGCTTTTTAAATAAGGACTGATTTCAGCGAAGCACATACAGGGCAATCATTTCCTCATCCCCAGCACTAGCAGCATAACATTACAAAGTGGCTGCTTGCTATGCTATCAATTCTGTTGCTGATTCTCTAGTTTATTTGGGGATAGATGAACCTGTCAATATCAGTTTCTCTCGGTGTGCCTTGTTTCTTCATCAGATTTTTTTTATAAAAAAATTGTCTGCATGAAAATCTGTATGCAATTCCTGCTGATATGCACATTTTGCATTCATACTGTGATTTGAGAAAGGCACCACCAAATCTGTAGATGTGCATATTTTGAATGATTGCTGCCTCCTGGTTTACACATTAATTCTGGGAGTGTGAGTTGTGTGAATTTCCCATAATACTGTATTTCATTTTACTTGAATATTTGACTGAATGGTCTCTTTAACTGGGTGTATCTTGGATGGCAATTCTTTGAATCTTTGATGAACCAAATGCAGTCTACTTTATATAAATAATTTCTAAAGACTCAAATGAGGTTTAACAGGTTGTGACGTACACAACTCGGGAAAACATATATATGAATTAATCTTATTTTAGACAGACCGTATTCACTCACATTTCATTCCAAGGTTAATTCTGGGACAACTTTGTTAGATATAACCTACTGAATCCCATAAATATATATATATATATATATATATATATATATATATATATGGTTTTGGTACATTCAAATATAACGTGCTTTCACATTTGTTCCCCGTGTGTCCAGAGAAGGCAGCCAACAGCATCTCAACTTCCAGTATCCAAATATTTCGGGTGATACCTTTTGGATTACATATCATATGATTTTTGTTTAATATACAGGTAATCTCAAGATGCTTACTGTTCACTGTGAGTTTAGCTTTGACAGAGTAGGATGAGCCAAAGTGATTTGAAATAACACACTGATATTTCCCCTCGTTGCTGAATTCCACATTGCGCAGCCTAAGAATGGTGGTATATTCCATCACTTCGCCGCCCTGTGCCCTGAGATGTGCGTAATTCTCCATTTCAGCATCATGCAGCAATTCATTGTCCTTCTTCCAAGCAAAAGTCATCGGGGAATCGCTGCTGCTGGCGGCTGAACATATAAAACTTAAATTGGAACCTTTGATTGCTGACTGAGTTTCAGGCTGTACAGTTATCTGTGGCTTCGGAAAATCATCTGTGAATATAAGAGCAAAGGGGGGTGGGGAACAAATTGCAATAAGCTCATGTGATTTCTTGTCGGAGACGAAAGTGAGAGACCAGACCAGACCTTTAATTATAGGTTTGGAAGAATCAAGTACTTAAAAGAGATATTATGCAGATTTCCAATCAGCAGTCTAAATCATGGATGGCGAACCTTTGACTCCAACTCCCATCATCCCTGACCATTTGCTACGGTGGCTGGGGGCTGATGGGAGTTGCAATCCAACATCATCTGCAGGGCCACAGGGTCCCCCATCCCTGTTCTAAATTGTACTCTTGAGGGAGGTTCTTTTACCAATAGCTGGGGAAGCAGGTGACGCTAAACCACTGAGCCTCTTGGGCTTGCCAGTCGGAAGGTTGGCAGTCGAATCCCTGCGACAAGGTGAGCTCCCGTTGCTCTGTCCCAGCTTCTGCCAGCCTAGCAGTTCAAAAGCATACCAGTGCAAGTAGATAAATAGGTACCACTGTGGTGAGAAGATAAATGGCGTTTCCGTGTGCTCTAGCTTCTGTCACGGTGTTCCGTTGCGCCAGAAGCGGTTTAGTCATGCTGGCCACATGACCCAGAAAGCTGCCTGCAGACAAATGCCGGCCAACAGCATCTGGTAGAACACTAGTACTCCATCTCAGGTCTACAGAGTAACTTTGCATTTACTTGAGTTCATCTCAGAAACTGTGTCCATCAAAGGCGCCATCCTTTCCCAAATAAGGAAGCATCACACATACACAAATGGATCCTCTGTTTCTTGTCTACAGAAAGAGGACGTTGCTGGATTGGCTGAGGCAAGCAAGCACAGGCCTCCCATTCCCTCTGATGTTTGGCCATGCTGCTTTCGCATGTGGTTGGGGGTAGGTGGGGCTAAGAGAAGATAAACAGGGCTCTACTGAATCCCATCGGGAAATTGTTGTACTCTGAAAACTATAACGTTTTGACCAATCAACTAATGTTTAACATTTCACTCATGAAGCAGAAGTACATTCCAACTGCAATTCTCTATGCATTTATCTGGCAGCTGAGTCCTACTGAACTCAACAGAGCTTGTTTCTAAATAGCCTAAGATTGTGCTGCCAGTTTCCACTGCTTGTCAGCTATTGGCTTTGCCACTGTCAAGGGAGTAAGAGGTGGCATGTTAAAAATCAGGTTCCTGGCCTGGTGTAAAATTTCATTGCTTATAATCACAGCAACTTCCATATTGCCTTTTCACCTTTTGGGTTGTGCAGCTTTGGCCCAGGGAATACCAGCTGACAACTTCTATTGCATAATCATATGATGATCATACACAACAATGGATCAGCAAGATTATTTTATATTTTAAATCTCATTTTCACCTTCTTCTTTTTTTGAAAAATTGCCTTTAGGTCTAAAATTTATCATCTTTTGATAGCTGGGAGAAGTACAAATTACATCAATTTCGAATTATAAGGACAAAGGAACCGGTAAGCACACAATTTCATTTTGTTAAAATGCCCCGTTTCTGTTTCCTCGTCTTCTTTTCTTCCCAGAACTTTAACCTGGCATGTTGAATTAGCTTTTAAAACCACATACACACAGAGAGAGTTGTTTTCATTAAATTTAGAAAGGCATGTGGTATTTTTCTCCTGCTGAGCAATCATTTTAATGAATGCAAGGATGAATATTTAAATTACTGTCATTCAGCTGCAAGATCTGAGAATTAAGGAGCACAATTCTTCTTGACTGAAAATATATCTTTAAGCAACATTTCCCACTGAAACATTAACGTGATAACTAGGCTATGGAGATCAAAAAGTGTTTATTCAATTCAATTAATTTGTTTAGTCCATTAAAGAAACCAAATTTTTGTCCAGTTCTTGGTATATGCTGCAAAGAAAGTTTAATTCAAACAGTAACTCTCTCAATTAGACATGACGGATTTATTTTAAAAGTTATTAAGAAGCCGTATTGCAAAGATGCTATAGCATATATATTTGCAATGTACTGCATTTCGGTGCTTCCCAGCTGAATGCTTGTAACATTGGTTCAGCTGAAAGCATGTCTCTTTCTTGCAGAAGTGATTTTTTGTGGCTTAATTTCCCATCTCTAATAATGGGGTCAATTATGCTTTTGGACCTACAGTTTCATTAGTTATATTTTACAGCTCTTCAGAGCAAGCCATGGTAGGTTTTTCTTTTTACAAAAGCTGCATTTCTGCTGCTCGTTATGCATTCATAAATCATTTTCTTTTAATGCCAGTGTTAACTGTGTACAAAACTCCAGCCCAAGTTTGCTTAGGGCCACCAACTATGGCCATTAACTGTGGCTATGAAAGAACACTTTTGACAGTGGTTCAATGAGCAGCACATTCATGAGCAGCACAAAAATAACAGAAATCCTAGACCTGAACCTCCCTGCTATTCAGCACTGGTGTGTTTTTCACTGTAAGAAAGATAAACCAGAGTTAAACCCTCAAAAATCCACAATGCATGTCAGATTGTTTGCTCTTTCTGGTCAGTTCCTGTTACCACAGGCTCCCTGCTTCTTTAAAACATGCTCACATTTCATTGGCTGTCAGGGCTGGACAACCTCCCTCCCTTCCATTGTGAACCGAGAGATGCAAAGATATTCTCACTGTGAGTAAGGTGATGCAGCTGCCCTCCAATAGGGTCTAATGAGGAAAGTGCTCACATCATTAGGGCTGGGCGATATATCATCCAAAATCACTTTGAAGTCCATATTAGGATATCCGTTTCATAATTTTTGACCTGGCGATATATCGCGAATCATGATGCGTGTGCTATGCCAAAAACGTAACTTGAGAAAAACCATAAAGACAGCCAATGTCCCCACATAAAGGTAAAGGGACCCCTGACCATTAGGTCCAGTCATGACAGACTCTGGGGTTGCGGCGCTCATCTCGCTTTATTGGCTGAGGGAGCTGGCGTTTACCTTCCCGCCAGAGCGGTACCTATTTATCTACTTGCACTTTGACATGCTTTCGAACTGCTAGGTTGGCAGGAGAAGGGATCAAGCAGGAGAAGGGATCAAGCAACGGGAGCTCACCCCGTCGCGGGGATTCGAACCGCCGACCTTCTGATCGGCAAGTCCTAGGCTCTGTGGTTTAACCCACAGCGCCACCCGCATAATTCCATCCTTATTTCGGACACTGTGCTATATCAGTATATTGTGAAGTTTAGCTGGTGATATATCAACAATGCTGAAAACCAGATACTGCCCAGCCCTACACATCGTTTTGTGGTCCAATCTCTTTCTACTCTCTTAGAAATTAAACTATGCCCAAACAAAATTGATTGTGGAAAAGACATTGGAATTCCCTAATTTTGGGGGTGGTGGGTGGAATAATTTTGCTGAGTTGCAAACACAGAAAAGTGAGTCTGTGAGAAAATATTTCCCTAAAGACCATGAGCTCAATAGAACTTCCTGGGCAGCTGCTAACATGCTGGTCAAAATAGAACGGACGCCTTTGTCCCACCTCTGACTCTTCTCTTAAGGAGGTGGGAGTCAGGAATGCTGGAGCTTTGCTAGAGCTCTCAAATGTTCTTAGATGTAGGAGTGCACAAAGGCCATAAAAATGAAATATTGTGCTTAAAGATGACTATGTGGATTTTGTATGTTAACAAAACTCCTGAAGAACGTCTTAACCTCTGCACAATGAAGGTGCTATTCATATTATACATATTCCTGCATTTTTGCATTTAAGAAAACTAAGCATGCATCTGTCTAAACATTTCACAGAATGCCAAAATATTTAGAACAATGCTTACCTAAGTGGCATTCACATTTTAAGCCTAGCAGCATATATGCATTTTCCACCACAAACCACTGAGCCTTCTTTTGTACACAATATGCAACTATGCAGTACACAAAACTTAATCCTAAACTGTCGTTCCCCATCTGAAATAAAACCACAAACTTGAAATATCTGCAGTGCAGAGCTCATGAACAGTGGAGGGGGTGGGGTGGGGAAGAGTATTTTAAACAAATAAACAAAACTATTAACCCTCACAGTTCAGGTAATAAAGCTAAAGCTGTTTAAATCTGCCCTGAAACAACCATCTAGACGGCAATGAAAAAGGATTACAAAAAACAACAACCTTACCACACACAAAATCTTCTAGGCTGACAGCAAGCACATTCCTCCCTTTTAGTATCTGAGGATGGGCACAAGTGGCATTGACGAAAGCCTGGAAATTGTTGTCCATCAGCCATTCCGGTAGCCATTTCAGCTGGCAGTCGCACAAAAGGCTAGATGTGTTTAGGTACCTATAAAACGAAACAGGAGCGGATTCCATTCATAGGAAGCAGAACTTCACAGCTTCCAGAGCAGGAAAGCAGTATTAAATCAAACCCGAAGATAAGTTAAGCACCAAAACTGATCACAAAAAATCAACGGCGTTGCACTGATTTATTTACTTCGTTTGCAGCCTGGCCGGTCTCAACATCTCAGGGAAGGTTCATGGAAAGGTGTGAATCATGGGCTATCAGGTGTACATGTGTTGGAGAGAACATATTACAGGCTTCTTGCTCATTCTGGTCTAACACATACATAAGAACTGAGTGTGGCAGTGTGTACAAGCGTCCTGCCTCACTCCTAACCTACCCAGATGTACTACAAAGCCAGCACAGAAGGATTAACTTTTTATACAAATATAGGAAGCTGCCTTATACAGAATCAGACCATTGGTCCATCTAGTTTGTATACACCTGTATACCTGAAGCGTCTCCACCCCCATCGTTCAGCCCGGACACTGAGGTCCAGCTCCGAGGGCCTTCTGGCAGTTCCCTCATTGCGAGAAGTGAGGTTACAGGGAACCAAACAGAGGGCCTTCTCGGTAGTGGCACCCGCCCTGTGGAACATCCTCCCATCAGATGTCAAGGAAGTAAGCAGCTATCTTATTTTTAAAAGACATCTGAAGGCAGCCCTGTTTAGGGAAGTTTTTAATATTTAATGCTGTATTGTTTTTAACACTCGATTGGGAGCTGCCCAGAGTGGCTAGGGAAACTCAGCCAGATGGGCGGGGTATAAATAATAAATTATTGTTGTTGTTGTTGTTGATTGTCCACATTGAATAGCAGTAGCTCCCCAGGGTTTCAGACAGATGCTAGGGACTGAACCCGGAATCTTCTGCATGCAAGGCAGATATTTTATAGCCCTTTCCCTATACTTAGAGGAGAATGAGGGGGACAGAAACAAAACCTTCCCCTACCTTACGTCACTGAGCTAAATCCTGTGCTGGCTCCCTGGTATCAGAACCAGGGTGGTGGAGGAGGAAATTACTTAAAGAAGCAGAGCCCATCATGATTAAGGGTTTGGTTTTGTGTTACATACATGCAGCTGAACAGGTAAGTGTCTAATATAGTCAGTGCCGGATTTATGTATAAGCTAAACAAGCTATAGCTTAGGGCCCCACTCTCTTGGGCCCCCCCAAAAAAAAATTAAAGAGAAAAAAACCTGGATGTACATTTCCAAAATATAAGATAAAAAACAAATAAAATAAAACCTACATATAGCAACAGTGTTTTTGTTGTGTAGGCTCCTATGATGTAAGTAATGGGCCCCGTCTGCTAGCCTGTTCCCTAAAATATCACTGGTTTGTTCCTTTCTATATACAGGGTGCCTACATTCTGCATGAGCAAATGGCTTTAGATACCTATTAGGTCCATAAATTGGGACGCGGGTGGCGCTGTGGGTTAAACCACAGAGCCTATGACTTGCCGATCAGAAGGTCGGCGGTTCGAATCCTCCCAACGGGGTGAGCTCCTGTTGCTCTGTCCTTGCTCTTGCCAACCTAGCAGTTCGAAAGCACGTCAAAGTGCAAGTAGATAAATAGGAACCGCTCCAGCGGGAAGGTAAACAGTGTTTCCATGCGCTGCTCTGGTTTGCCAGAAGCAGCTTGGTCATGCTGGCCACATGACCCGGAAGCTGTACGCCAGCTCCCTCGGCCAATAAAGCGAGATGAGCACTGCAACCCGAGAGTCGGCCACGACTGGACCTAATGGTCAGGGGTCCTTTACCCTTTACCTAGGTCCATAAATTGCCATATAGCATATATTCAACACAAAAAACTGGCAATTTGTTGTTGACAAAGGACAGCTGGACATATACAGGGCCCCATTACCTTCAGTAGCCAAGGGCCTCATCAAACCTAAATCTAGCCCTGGGTATAGTTCAGAGTGGCCCTTGCTACCAGGTGGGGAAAGAATTTCTGTCTTTTTATAAGACCAAAACAGAGTATTATTACTTGTTGAGCACGAACTTCTAGAATTATCCTTGCCTTAGCTGTATACCTCAAAATACGTACAGTGGTACCTTGGAAGCCAAACGGAACCCGTTCCGGAAGTCCGCTCAACTTCCAAAAAGTTCGGAAACCAAGGCACAGCTTCTGATTAGCCGCAGGAGCTTCCTGCAGCCAATCAGAAGCCACACTGGATGTTCGGGTTCCAAAAGAACGTTCGCAAACAGGAACACTCACTTCCGGGTTTGCGGAGTTTGTGAGCCAAAACTTTTGAGTCGCAAGGCATTCCAGAACCAAGGTACGACTGTTATTTCCTTTTTCAGATCCACAGCACCTTTTTTCTTAACTGTGCCCTATGTTGTTCAACAATGACGTGAGAAAGTTGCTAAAGGTACTGCTTTTTAAAATAAATGCATCGTCATTACTACCAATGTCCATTGCTATGATTATCTGATATATTCAAACATAACGCACGTCTCATTGGGGCAAACTAGAGACACTTACAATTCTTTAAGTTTCTTCATTTGTGAAAACGTGTTTCCTTGAACTGACATGATGGCATTGTTACTTAGATCTCTGTGGGTGGAAACAAAAGGAAAAGGCAAAATGTAGGATCAAAAGGCAAACAAAGTCAAAGCAAATTCTCACATTCTGCTAAAATAAAACATGAAAAAGAAGCACCTTGTACCATATAAGTACCACTACACAGAGGCTCATTTAAAAGATAATATATCATAGAATTGTAGAGTTCGAAGGGACCGTGGGGATCATCTCATTCAAGCCCTGCAGTATAGGAATCTTTCACCCAATGTGGGGCTCAACCCCATTGGGTCTCATGTTGTACCAGCTGAGCTACCCCAGTTGTATGATTTGACTATATTTCCTAGATACAATGCAATTTGGCAGGGGAATGCCATCTATAGACCCTATGCTGCAACACAGAAAGTCGTCTCACACTCAAACCATCTCTAACTCAGTCTACACTGATAGGCAGCTCCCCTGGGTTTCAGAGAAGGCTTTCTTCTCAGCCCTTATTGGAGATTGAAACTGGGATTGCAACTGGGAACTTGGGTGTGCAAAGCTGTTCCTTTGGAGGAAGAACTGTGAGGGGAGAGACTCCATCAGGCAATGCCTCTTTCCACCTGCCTTGCTCTACCCTCTGCTTCTTAATGTGTACTGTATTTTTTGATGTACTTGCTGTTGTTTTATTGATTATAGTTTAGATATTATTGTAACTGTTGAGTGGATTTCTGTTTAACTTTTCTATGTTGATATTATTATTTTATACTATTGTAATGATTGTTGAATGTTACTTTTTTGATAGAGGTTGACTATTTTAAAGTTATGTTTGATTATCACATTTTTGTATTGCATTAGATTGTTATAAGATGTACATTTTTTGTTCTTCAGCTTGTAAACCGCCTTGAGTATTGTAAGATAGAAAGGCGGTATACAAATTAAAAATGATGATGATGATGATGATGAAAGCAGGAGCTCTACTACTGACCTATATGCCCCCTTTGAAGGTTATCATTGAGTTGGCATCATTGCATATTTTAAAAATTGTCTGGTTCAATGTGATTTTCAACTACTTACAGGTGTTCAAGTGCATCCAGACCAGAAAACGCTTTCTTAGTAATTGACCTAATCCGGTTTCCTTGGAGTAGCCTGGAAATATAAAACACTTAACATGTAACAGATGAAAATGAAATAGATACATGATTTTTGGAACCGTTAGGAGAGACTTGATAATTGCTTTTAAGGCATGTTTTACTGCACTGTGTCTACCTACCTCTCAACACTTTCCTCTCCTAAATATATACATGTATTCTGCTTCAGTTACTGGAGAGATGAAGGCATGTTCAAAGTCTTTTAATGTATATAATTTGGTGAAGCTTTTTTTTTTTTTTTTTTTTTGGCAAGGGCTGTCAGCCAATTTATTTCTACATCTGTGCATTGTGAAGAAAATCTTTGCATTCTAACAGAGCCATTGCCTCTGAATGCCGGATTGCCCTGCCAAACATCTGCCCTTGTCTGCCTTATGTAGCTTTCCACTAACATGACTGCCTCTAATTTCTACTCTGAAGAATCTTGGTGAAAGCTATAAGGACTGATTGCATGACACCATGCATGCAGTTAAGATAATCCAAAGTCTTTTCAACCGAAGAGTATTTGGAAACTTTTTTTGTAATTAATGAAAAGAGAGATGTACTGAAAAGAGGGACACGGGTGGCACTGTGGGTTAAACCACAGAGCCGAGGACCTGCCAATCAGAAGGTCGGCGGTTCGAATCCCCGCAACGGGGTGAGCTCCCGTTGCTCGGTCCCTGCTCCTGCCAACCTAGCAGTCTGAAAGCACGTCAAAGTGCAAGTAGATAAACAGGTACTGCTCCGGTGGGAAGGTAAACGGCATTTCCGTGCACTGCTCTGGTTCACCAGAAGCGGCTTAGTCATGCTGGCCACGTGACCCGGAAGCTGTATGCCGGCTCCCTCGGCCACTAAAGCGAGATGAGCGCCGCAACCCCAGAGTCGGCCACGACCTAATGGTCAGGGGTCCCTTTACCTTTACCTTACTGAAGAGAAGCACATCAAGGAAGGCCGGGTTAAATTAAGGTGACTCCAAAGAGCAAATCAAGAAAAAATCCTGGTGTTTCTGGACTTTTGCTCCAAGGTTTCATAGGATGTGTTAATTCCCACTCTGCCTGCCTCCACTTTAGCTAATTTCTTCTTTCCTGATTACCCTTCTCCCTCCAACTATAAGCTAAATAAAGCAGATTAATATGAGAATCAAGCTTCTGCTAGCTTTGCACTGTTGCAGCTCAGACCTCAGCAGAGAGGGCTGTGTCAGTGAAGTAGAGTGGTACCCCGGAAGTTGACCGGAATCCGTTCCGGAAGTCTGTTCAACTTCCAGAACCTTTGGAAACCAAGGCATAGTTTCTGATTGGCTGCAGTAAGCTCCTGCAGCCAATCGGAAGCCATGGAAGTTGTGTCAGCTGTTTGGGTTCCAAAGAACATTTGCAAACCGGAATGCTCACTTCCGGGTTTGCGGCGTTCGCGAGCCAAAACCTTCAACTCGCAAGGTGTTTGGGATCCAAGGTATGACTGTAAATGTTAACGTACAGCCAAGCACCCTAGTGGCCAAATCCACCTTACAGATGACTTCCAGCTTCCCTCAACCACTAGCTTCCCTCAACCACTAGCTTCCCTCAACCACTAGCAATACTAGCAATCTTTCCTTTCCCATACTTCCTGCCTAGTCCTTCTTTAATCTTTACTTTTGCCTCCATTGCCTCTCTCTAATGTGCGAAAGTGGAAAGAGATCTGGAAGGACAATAGCAGCTGGGGTGGGATGGGGAATACAGAATCTGCATTTGAAGATAAAGCAGTAAGTTGTACTTACAGCCACCTAAGTTTGTCAAGTCCAGAAAAGGCGCCATTCATATCTTCAATTGTCCAGGAGATTTCATTGTTTTTAAGATCCCTGTTGAAAGAAATAGATAAGTCAGATCCAGGGTCTTCAAAGTGTACAAGTAAGTTTAAATCACAAAAGCAATTGATTCCTAGAAGGAAGCACATTGGGAACCCAGCGGCATGTTCACTCCTAGCCTAAATGTTTTACCCAACTGGAAACCCAGGAAATTGGTTACTCTTTCCACACACAGTGCTTAGAAGCACCCTCTTAAAGTCGTTTTCAAAAGCAGCAGCTGCATGTCATAAAATCAGCAAAGTAAAGCAGCCCTCCTATGTCATGATTTTATTTTTTGTTCAACTAATCGTATGATGTTTTTATTTTTTTCACGCCTGTTATGAGGAATTATTCTAAAATGTGAAATATATATACAGTGGTACCTCGGGTTACATACGCTTCAGGTTACATACGCTTCAGGTTACAGACTCCGCTAACCCAGAAATAGTGCTTCAGGTTAAGAACTTTGCTTCAGGATGAGAAGAGAAATCGTGCTCTGGCAGCGCGGCGGCAGCAGGAGGCCCCATTAGCTAAAGTGGTGCTTCAGGTTAAGAACGGACCTCCGGAACGAATTAAGTTCTTAACCCAAGGTACCACTGTGTGTGTGTGTGTGTGTGTGTGTGTGTGTGTATGAAATAAAATTGAAACAGTTAAAGTAGCTTCAACAGTGTTGTCAATGCATATCAATGGCAGCAGAGACGAAGCCTTCCTTGTATCAAGATGTATTCACTGTTTAAAATTCCTTCACATTCATCTACACTAAGATAGTCTTGGTATTGTAGAGAAAAACCCTACTATGAAACTTACAAAGTCTGCAAACTCGATAGTCCTCGGAAGGCACAATCGGCAATGTAGCTCACTCTGTTGTTCCCAACATTCAGCCTCACAAGTAGGCTTAAACCAACAAAGCTTGAATCCTCTAGCCGGGTTAAATGATTATAAGTTAAGTCCCTGCAAGTTTGAGAGGGGGAGAAACATTTGCTTTAATCAGAATTAATAAGGAACCCAAACCCAATTCACAATTCGTCCCCTGATTAAGTTCAGCCTGATTATTTTTGATATAAGCTTGCACATTATTTTCCATTACACAGAAAATAGCAGAATGGGCTTCCTTATTTAAAAAATTACAGTAACGAAAGACCAAACATAACTTTTACGAAGGGGGGGGGGGGCGCAGTTGGCTTCAGCTCCTCACAACAAAATATCATTGCATTAACTAACACACAAACAGCTGTTGCCACCTTTAGAAATCTTGTTACAAAAAAAATCACAGCTCACTGGTAAGCTGTTCATGCTTTGGCTTGTACCCTGCTCTTAAAAATGGAAGGGTTTAAACACAAAACTACTACTCACAGCTCACTGAGTTTTTGGCAAAACTCCCAGGCATCAGGGCTGATTCTGCTGATAGCATTTTGGCTAAGATGGAGCTGCTGCAACATCAGCAACCCATAAAGCCAGCCTTTGGTAATCTCTGTTAGGTTGTTATGATCCAGCTGCCTGTATACACACACACATACATACATAGAAACAGAAAAAGGGGGGGGAAAGACCTCAAGTTTCATATGAAAACTTAAAAATCAATACATAACAAGAAGAAATTAAGGCTCTTCCTACTGGAAACAGAAACCAGAAAAGGTTGGTGGGTTGTACATTTATATATTGTTAGCATCGCAGTTACTCAAAATAAGCAATGTACTTAGGGATTCAAAAATGGTTATTTTTTGAAGACTATGGAAGCGTATACTTACAGGATTTCCATGCTACTTAATCCCCAGAAAGCTCCATCCATGAGCCTAGCTAGCCCATTTCTTTGTATTCTTAAAGATTTCAAAGAAGGAAGTCCTTGAAACGTAAGCCCATCTATTTTTTTAATTTTGTTACGGTTCATTTCTCTGAGGGGAAAAAAAAAGAGATCCAAGTTAACTAAAATAAGCTCAGACTTCCCAGCGCGCGCGCGCGCACACACACACACACACACATATATATATATATATATATATATATATATATATATATATATATACACACACACACATACTGAGGTCCAGCACCGAGGGCCTTCTGGCAGTTCCCTCACTGCGAGAAGCCAAGTTACAGGGAACCAGGCAGAGGGCCTTCTCGGTAGTGGCACCCACCCTGTGGAACGCCCTCCTACCAGATGTCAAAGAGAACAACAACTACCAGACTTTTAGAAGACATCTGAAGGCAGCCCTGTTTAGGGAAGCTTTTAATGTTTGATGTATTACAATATTTCAATATTTTAGTATTTTTTTGGAAGCCGCCCTGAGTGGCTGGGGAAGCCCAGCCAGATGGGCGGGGTATAAATAATAAATTATTTATATATATATATATATATATATATATATATATATATATATATATTCTGGGCTGCTCCTCTCTTGGTACAATCAGAACGTCAAAGTGTGGCCCCACAAATTGTTGATTACGTACATTGCTTGTAGCGATATGGAACAGTAACAAATAAAAGCCAGACCTTCCTGATGTACCAGGATAAAATTGTGAGCTGCAACAGTAGGGGCATTACTCAGGGCAAAGCAAGCAGATCATATCAATATGAAACCTTAGGACAGGGATGATGGAAACTGTGATCTCCATTGTGTTGTTGGTCTACAGGTCTCAACATCCCTGACAACTGGCCACACTGACTGCAGCTGATGGGAGCTGGTGTCTAGCAACATCTGGAGCACAACCAGTTCCTCATCCTCGGTTTAAAACATGAATGCATCATGAGAACTATGCCTCTGTTCTATCTAAAGCTTTCGTGCCTTTATGTGGTTACTACTGAGGTTGATGCTCAACCGCTGCCAGAAGCCTGCAAGACTAATTTAAAACAGTTGGGCTGTACTTACAGATGCTGGAGATGAGGGAGTTTAAACATCTTCTGTGGGATGGCTGAAATTCGGTTCCTGTTCAGCTTTAATACTTGAAGTGTGCTAGACAGGTTGTCAAAAGTGCCTGGTTCCATGGCGATTATTCGATTATTATTAATGTGGCTGTGGAAACAATGACAGTTAGCAGCTATGGAAATTTTAGCAGATTTCGTACCAAGACCTCATTACCGACTATGTGGTAACTACTAATCCTAACTTAAGAACTTAATAATCGCTTTAAAATCTCCCCCACCTCTGTCAACCTCCAATCGGTGGTTAAGGGGAACTTTGAATGGAAACATACGTTTTGCCTTCAGCCAAAGTCTATGGTACCTAGCAGACAGGAAATAACCAGCACTGATCCAATGGCAAATAGAATTTAAATTCTCAAAATAATATTTCAATGACTGAAAGATATTCTGTCCTTCCACTCATAGAAGGGACCATTAGATTTAACCCAATGTCTTTATAGGACTATTATTATTATTTTTAAAATCACACATACTGAAAGGGCTGCTTTTACTTTAGTCTACTACTTTAACTATGCTTATCAGACAGTAAATTAATATACGATTTTAGAACTCAAAATGTAATGAAAGCCTTGTCTTAAATAAAGTTAAACTTACATGTACTTGAGCATCAGAGAAGGAAATGACTCCGCCTTAAGCACAGAAATATTGTTGTTGCTCAAGTCCAAAGTTTCTAGAGACTGGAATGGTTTCAGGTCTTCAGGCAAGATGTCTGTAATCTTGTTACTTGTCCTAAATTAAAATTTGCATGTCAAATTTAAGGCAGTTTCCAGACAAGTAATGAAATGATTGTACTTCCCAAGAACTTAAGGAAAAATAAAAAGTTTTGCCAGAATGAAAGTAGCAATCCTATATTCATGCACCTGGCCGTAAGTCCCACTGAACTCCACGGAGCTTATTTCTGACCAGACATGGAGAAAACTGCAATGTCAGAGCCACACATAAAAGCAAAACAACATAAAGATTATGGAGGGTTGGTGGAGTCTCTGGGGCAGGGGGATGCAGGGGGAAATGAATGGAGGGGAAGTCTCAACATTTCCAACCCCCTCCCCCCAAAAAAATCACATACAAGGAACCATGAGCAAAAGAGGCATAGCACACAAAAAGAGAAGAAGAGGGAAGGCAACTATTAAGATGCAGAAAGCTCTGAACACATGGAAAAGCCAGAGAAAAATGATAAAGACATGACAGAACAGAGCAGCTAGTCAGATGGATGAGATTGAGCAATGTGCAAAGAACAAAACATGGGGAGGAAATCAAGGAGAGGAGGACAAACAAAACATGAACGTCTTTGGAATTAAGAAATTTATAATTAATACCACCAGGAAAAGAACAAAAAAAGGAAGAGGTGATTATAATGTGAGACAGGAGAACAAGTTAAGAAGGAGAATTCAGGAGCCAAAGAAGGGGAACACTGTGAACTTGGGAGCCAAAGAAGAAAAACATCCAAAACCTGAACACAACAAGAATAAGGCCTTCCATGTACACATCTAATAACAGGGTATGTGATCATTGCAACTTTGCTGTTCTGCTACAGTGTTAATTGGCATCGTATCTGAAATTAAAATTTAGTTCTTTTGAGGAAACAAATTATTCATAATGACTATTTCTTTATTTGCTTCCTTTGGCAGAGTCAGTTCAGCACAATAATTGTAGAGCTGACCCAGGAGGTATCAGGCACTAGGTCAGGCACAGTGTCAAACATGCTGCTCTTATTCTGTCAAGAGCACAATTTAAAATAACCACAAGCAAAGCTCTCTTCTCCTCAGCTATCAACCCAAGAAAAGGGCCACCAGTCGCCCGCTCTGAACAAAATTAGAACAATTTGATCTCATGTTTGTGTGTAGGATAGGGTGCCACCAGCAAAAGAGATACCATGTGCCATGCTTAGAGGAATAGAAGGTGCTTTAAAGTTTTCATAAAGACTGCATCGTTTCATCCTTCCACATAATTTCAGGATGTTTTTCTGCATTCAGGATCCAACAACAACCCTCTGAAAATTCTTGCCCAAATAGGAGAAGGTCACATAACAGCAGCTACAGAACAGATGGGGGGAAATGGAAACACAGCTATTCCATTGCCTCTGGCCTACCCTCAACAACAGCCAGTTCCATCCTACTTCCATTCCAGCTGGTCCTCATAAGAACTGTGTCTTCAAAAACTGGTACCCGAGTTTGCTACCAACCCTTCCATACATACATACATTCCTTTGGATGTCAAGCCTGAAAGCAGCAGGGATGATCTTACTATTGATCTTGGAAGCTACTCTGGGAGCCTTTTCAGCTAAAGAATGAGGGTAAAAATGCTTGAGATCAATAAATAATTGGCAATCCTTGTTGAGATGCCTGCCAGAAGACACTTCCAGGTTTGAGGGAGGACTAGGCAAAGAGCTTTCTGCTGGGCCTTCTCCTATATCAGGCACAAGGAGTTCGTGGCCCTTCAGCCTCAGTCAGCATCACCAATGCCCAGGCATGATGCGAGATGGAGTCCAACAAACATTTGGAAGGCCGCAGAGATTCCTCACTCCTATCCTTCATAGATAAGATTGTTGGGCTTCTGAGGCAAGACGCCACGAGCTGCCTCTTTTAAATGCCTTCAGTACTCTGGAGCAATGCAGGAGCCCTCTGGTAAATTCAAAATGGTGGTTCAGAGCCCTAGCTGCCTATAGCAAGAAACCCAAAGCAGGCATTGTTGCTGGTGACCCAGTTGCTGGGCACTGGGTTACTAGAAGTTGCTGGAAGCTGCCAAGTGCTGATGCCAGGCCCGTCAGGCTACTTTATGGGGCAGATTAGAAAATATGAAAGGGCAGAAACGTAATGTGGTTTATCATGTTTTAAATCTAAGCAGAGGGAGAAGCTGGCTTGCCCACCTCAATTCTGCTAAAATTATACCATTTGAGGGTACTCTGAGCACATCAATGGGACTGTTCCTTCAAAATAAGTTGTTTCTATTTAAAACAGGATGTCTGGCAACTGAGGTACCCATATAAGCACTTAAGGGAAGTTAGAGGCTGAGATTAATCACCACTCATTAAAACCAAGAAATTGGCTAAAAAGAGAAGCCAGAAGTTGTGGATTAACTAGCCCTCACACCAGATGTGTTAAAAAGAAGTGATATTTTGTTACACCTCAGACATTGTTCTCACTCAGCATCAAATTTCAGCCCTTGGCCTGTCGAGTCTAGGCTCTTTAAATTTAACTCTTAGCTGCAAGGTCTTATTTAAATCTTTTTTTAAAAAAAAACCCCAACGGATGAGCCATGCGGCAGATTTATGAGTGAGCAAGACAAAGGTAGATAACAAGTTTAAGAGGCTTTAGTTTAGACGTTAGTGTTCATAAGGTAATTACTAATAAGGTACTAAAAACTGCCAATTACTTGAGTGACAAATAAAATTTTCCTTGCAGTAAAACTGTGCTTCAGCCTAAGCCAGCAATTTCCTGAACTGCACGCCTCCTAAATTGCAGTGTGAAAGTATTCAGTTAGGGAAAGCGTACACACTGCAGTCTTTGTGTCACCATTGCTTCATAAAAGAGAAATTTCTTACAACTGGCTGGATAATATCCCCCCCCCCCCCCGCTCATGAATTTCAGCTGTTCCTAATGGATCTGAATAATCTCACCTTCAGATCAGATGTTAACTAACTGGCAAATTACTCCAAGGCAGCCTCCTTTACAGATAAGGCTTGCTGGAGCTTTATTGTGGGAATGTGGGAAGAGAAAGAACATTCGTTTGTTAACTAACAGCGGGCAAGACATTAGTAGTTTAATTACATCTCAATATAGTTCAAAGGCAGAGTAAGTAATTAAACCACACTAAATTTTTGGTACTGGTTATCTGAAAGATGCACTTGAAGATAAAGCTCTCTCATCTCTGCACTGAGTGTTACACTGTCTTAAAGAACATCATACCTTCAGTCAGAGGTCCTCAATCTTTCTAGGCCCACTGGCCCACATGGAGTTTTGAGAGCAGGTCGCAGGCAAAAACCCCTTTGCTCCCTTCTGTTCTCCCTCCCCACAACAGGCAAACTATCTGCCCCCCCTTTTTTCCATGGGGTCTGAATAAAAGTCAAATCCAGAAAAATGAAACTGGATTTTAGTAAATTCACGTAATTCTATATCCTACCCTCCAAAAAAAGCCATAAAATTAAAACTTATACAGTGGTACCTCGGGTTACATACGCTTCAGGTTACATATGCTTCAGGTTACAGACTCCGCTAACCCAGAAATAGTACCTCGGGTTAAGAACTTTGCTTCAGGATGAGAACAGAAATTGTGCTCTGGCAGCGCAGCGGCAGTGGGAGGCCCCATTAGCTAAAGTGGTGCTTCAGGTTAAGAACAGTTTCAGGTTAAGAACGGACCTCCAGAACGAATTAAGTTCTTAACCCAAGGTACCACTGTACTGGTAGACTGCACCATTAAAAAATGTGAGTAAATCACAAATCTAAAGCTTGCCAGAACCACAAAAACACTGATCCAATGCAGAGATCCATATGTGTCATCATGATTTATTTATTTATTTTGCAAAGGATTACAACAAAACCTCCAATGAATTAGAGAACACATCTGCGGACACAGAGGTAACCTACAATTTGATGACAGTTTTGAGGGGATCCCCTGAAAAAATGAGGAAAATTCAAGCTCTCACATAAACTAACCTGAGTTAAATTAGATTTGAATGTCTCTTATTAGCAGGAACACCAACAAAACTTTGAAGTTTCCTCGGACCTCGAATATTTCCTTACATATAACAAGTATGTAAGAGCGCTGTCATGCTGCAGTTTGCAAAAGTGTCGACAGGTGGCGCTACAAACTACAGGGGACAACAAACTGGGCTGTCAGCGCTGTTGAGCCATCACAGCAGAATCAGAGAATGAAGAAGCAGCTTGAGGTACAAGGACAAGACTATCAGGACAGGGCAGCTTCCCAGCAACCACTGTGCTCTGCTACTGTCTGTCTCACACTGATGACGCCTGTTAGTGGGCATCCTATGAAGGGACAGGGTGGTTTGGTTGAGCTGTAGGTAGGGGGTTGGAAATTGTGAATGGAACAAGCACAGATACAGCTCTTGGGGCTCCCAGTATCTACACTTGTCTTTCTCTGCCTTGAGTCCTCCAATGCTGTTGGGCTACAACTGCCATCACCTCTAAACTAGCAGAACTAGTGGTCAGGGATGATGTGATCTGTGGTCCAACAACATTAAGGACCGAGGGCTGAGAAAGGCTGGTCTATACCGAATATAGCTGGGAAACCGGGGGCATCAGCTGAAGTCAACTGGTGAGTGCAAAGGAAGAGGAACCTGAATGACAGACACAAATCCCCAGACACTCTGATTTAATTGTATACATTTTGTTTCAAAATTAGTATTATATCTGAAACACAAGAATGTGCCAATCATGGCTATAAATCACATCAAAGCTCAGAAAGATTATCAACAGTTGTGACCATTTACAGGATGTCTATCAATACCTTGAGCTTGTAGAGAGGAAAATAATGATTTGCCTAACATACTATAAATAAAACAAATAAACAAATTAAAACATCATTTAAATCAGGGTTGGGCAAGCTGAAGTCCAAGGTCATATGTGGCCCTCTGTATTGTTTTATGAAGCAGAAAGGACAGAAAAAAACTTCATGAAAGATGGGTGGCAAAAAACAGAATATATACTTAAAAGCAAAACTAAAACCACACAACTATTATGAATGTGCTGATGGTTACTGTATCCTTAATGTGAGCTGATAATTTATCAGTAGCAGTATTCAGATATTATTTCTTTTCCTTTATTTTTAATAATATTATTTTTCTTCATTAAATTTGCAAATAATATATATTTATATGTATGTATGTATGTATATATATATATATATATATATATATATACACACACACACATATATATACATATACATATATAATATAACTTTAACAGAGTAGGGACAGAACAGGGTATTCACTCATTTCAAGCTGTACTAGTAAAATCTGCAGTTGTTGTAGTTGGTCCTAACAGGTTACTCACACTTTTTGATAAAGATCAACTCCCTTCTTATTGCATTACATTTTGTATTGCATTACATTTTGCTTGGCAGGCATTCAGATTTGATGTCAGACCATTTGTGGCTCTACCTTTGCATCTTATTGAGAGAGGCAGTGTTGTATATTTTTAACTACTGATTTTATTTATACTTGGATTTTTGTTTAGGCCAACTTGTTTTTAACTTCTGACTTTTACTGATAATTTTAATGTATCCTTTTTTGTTTCTAATGTATATTTTTGTTCTACTTTTTGTTTAATGTATATTATTTTTGTTCTAAAGCTTAGAGATTTCAACAATTAAACAGTGTGTATATATGTTTTTTTTTTTTTTAAAAAAAAACCCTTAAAAGTAAAGTCATACCTTGGAAGTCAAACGGAATCTGTTCCAGAAGTCAGTTTGACTTCCAAAGCATTTGGAAACCAAATTGTGGCTTTTGATTGGCTGCAAGAAGCTCCTGCAGCCAATCAGAAGTCACGGAAGCCCCTTCGGAAGTTCGGATTCCAAAAACCTGAACAGTCACTTCCGGGTTTACTGCGTTCGGAAGCTAAAACATTCGAGAACTAAGCTGTTTGAAAACCAAGGTACAACTGTACAGTGATTAAAGAAATAGAAATTCCAAGGTCCAATAATCTATTTGGTTTAGGACAGCCTTTCTCAACCTGTGGGTCCCCAGATGTTGTGGAACTACAACTCCCATCACCCCTAGCTAGCAAGGCCAGAGCTCAGGGATGATGGGAGTTGTAGTCCAACAACATCTGGGGACCCGCAGGTTGAAAACCACTGGTTTAGGCCATTGAACATCTTCTATTGGATTGTTTCTCTTGGCAGAGGACTCTCACTATTGTGCAAACAACTAATTTCACATCTTTCACCTCCACTTCTCTTAAACGCCAAACGGCCCTAGCCCTTTGACAAGGAGGACTCCAAGCATGGCTGGATCTCTTTGTGCCCGGAGAAGGGAAGCAGCAGAAGAAGCAAGAGAAAATGTCAAGAGAGACTGCTGCTGTCTCCTTTCTCATCCAAATCATAAGAGAATCATAGAATGAATTGTAGAGTTGGAAGGGACCCCAAGGGCCATCTAGTCCAACTACCTGCAATGCAGGAATATTCAGTGTTCTACACAGGGATCGTACCTGTAACCTTGGTGTTATCAGCACCACTCTCTAACCAACTGAGCCATCTCTCGGACTCTCTTCCAGGGCTTCTATGTTTCATCTGCCTAAGTCCAGAGAACTGCAGAAACTATAAAGTGGACCCCAGCTATATTTTTTGCCTCCACCAACTTCAGCACAAATGAGAGATGCTCAAATGATAAAAAGAGGAATCCTGGTGGACCAGATCAAAGGCCTGTCTGGCCCAGTATTCTTTTTCCCATGGTGGCCAACAAGCAGGACAGGAAGCCAAGGGTTGTTGCTCAGTAACTGGTCCTCAGAGGGACATGGGTGGCGCTGTGGGTTAAACCACAGAACCTAGGACTTGCCGATCAGAAGGTCAGTGGTTCGAATCCCCACAACAGGGTGAGCTCCCATTGCTCGGTCCCTGCTCCTGCCAACCTAGCAGTTTGAAAGCACGTCAAAGTGCAAGTAGATAAATAGGTACCGCTCTGGCGGGAAGGTAAACAGTGTTTCCGTGCACTGCTCTGGCTTCACCAGAAGCGGCTTAGTCATGCTGGCCACATGACCCTGAAGCTGTATGCCGGCTCCCTCGGCCAATAAAGCGAGATGAGCGCCGCAACCCCAGAGTCGGTCACGACTGGACCTAATGGTCAGGGGTCCCTTTACCTTTACCTAACTGGTCCTCATGGCCATACTGCCACTGAAACCAGTAGGAAGCGTATAGTTGTCATTCCTTACTGATGAATCTTCACTTCCTTCACAATCCTTTACACTTCCGTGACCTCATCTATTTGGCATGTGTCATACACATTGGTACTCCCAGATCATCCTTTGCTTTCTGTTACCATTTCCCCTTCCAACTTGCTCTGCCACAGACCAAACATTTAACACGCAGGCGTATTCTTCAGCTTTACCGTGAACCACATTTAAGAGCTTGCAGAACCTGCTCCTTCCTCCCTCTGTTTGCAGTCCTTTGTTTGCTGCCTCCCCCCACAAGTAACATTTTACCACAATTTTCATTCCTGGGCCTGATTCCAAGTGGATTCCAAGAACAAAACCTTGCCTGTAATTCAATAGGTCATGCCTCCACCTTCGTCTCAAGTTCACAACTTCTTTTTCAAGGCTCACGTACCCTTAAGCCCATCACAACAAGTTGCTAGTACATGAAAATTTAAACATCTGATAAAAACAGTTTTGCTAGTTTCAGATATAAAAGCTTATACTTTTAGACTTGTGGTCTGAGATCCCACCTATTTCCCCCACCACAGTTAGTCCAGAAGACCAAAGCACTGGTCATGTTCGCAACACTTGTACAGCTGCGAGAAATGTGACTTCCATATGTGTCACAGCGAACATACAACTTTATACCTTCTCAAAACACATCGGTTGACAAGGAGTGCAGATTATATCTTATGGCTCAAAAAAAAAAACCAACCCCAAAGGAATGAGAAACCAAGTTTATATATATGAAACAAGGGACAAGCTTGTATGTGCACCTTCATCACACAAAAACCATGCCATCAAGGAATGACTAACTTGTGAGCAACCATCAACAGATCAAGCAACACAGAACTTTTGTGCTAACATGATTTCACTGGGGGTAGTTCATATATTCATCTCCAACCCATCAGGTGGTGAATAATTAAATGCTGCATATTTTAGGGTGTGTTTTTAATTTGGGGCTGGTGGAGAGGGATAGCAGCTAGGAGCAACCTGGAAATTGCTGAGATTTACCCTGTGCTCATAACCAATGATTGTACATAGTGATCAATATCCACACAACACAACACAACACGTCATCTGGTCCCCTCCCAAAACAATTTATAAGCAAACACCAGAAGTAACCAAGGTGCCACATCAGATAAGCTCACATGATTAAATAAATTATTTGAGAAATAATTTAAACAGCCTAGATGGTTGAAGTGACTGTGCCAAACTTTGTATTGTAAGGGAAAGAAAAATATTCATTATTGGAGGGGGCATTCTTTTCAGCCTCGGATGTGAAGGTTATTTAAATATAAAGTAGTATGATGGAAGATTTATCAAGAAGCCCGAAATCGGGAGGGAGGTCAACATGCGTATATAATAGAGACATTAATAATATGTTGTAGTTTTTTGAAAGATTGTAATGGAAATTTAGGCTAGTTTATGTCGTTTAATTTAGGTTAGTATCTGTTGTTTATTGCTGTTTGTATTATTGAAGAAAAACGAATAAAAAATAATTTAAAATAAATAAATAAATATAAAGTAGTATGCATTCACACCAATGCTCTGGCACAACTGCAGGTCAAGGAGTCACTGATCTTAAGTTGTGACTGGCTGCAGCGCACAAAGGGAACCACAGTAGCAGTTACACGCTTCCAGCAGTAGGGGAGCTACGCTCTCTGAGATGGGGTGAGGTTGGGAAAGCTCTGGTTTCACAGCAATGGCACCACAGCCCCTTCACCCACGCTCTCATGTACTGTTGTTGGTTGTGACAATCTCCAATATCCCACTGGGGATAACAGGAAAACTAAGTTATGAGGATGAGGAAATGGTTGCTGAACTCTTCAGGTTCCAACTGAAATACAAAGTCAAAGAATGCCATTCATTAACCAACTGGGCCAGTCAGCTCAACTGCCAAACTCTTGGGCACTTTCTTATTTCCAATGCAAGGGGTTCTTCCAGTTTTTTCTAGGACAAAATTTGTCAGGCAAGAATAGTCTAACATCTTATTTTCCTACCTGGTGCCCTCCAGCTGTTTTGGACAACTTCCATCGGCCACAGTTGTAGTCCACAACAGCTGGTAGACACCATGTTCCCATTGTTCAGCCCGGATACTGAGGTCCAGCTCTGAGGGCCTTCTGGCGGTTACCTCACTGCGAGAAGCGAAGTTACAGGGAACCAGGCAGAGGGCCTTCTTGGTAGTGGCGCCTGCCCTGTGGAACACTCTCCCAGCAGACGTCAAAGAAATAAACAACTACCTGACTTTTAGAAGGCATCTGAAGAAAACCCTGTTTAGGGAAGTTTTTAATGTCTGATGTTTTATTGTGTTTTTAATATATTGTTGGAAGCCACCCAGAGTGGCTGGGGAAACCCAGCCGGATGGGTGGGGTATAAATAATAAATGATGATGATGATGGTTTACTCTATACAGAAAGGTGTCCCAAGGCAGCTGCCTCCCATCATGCAAATCTTTTATCAAGAGCAAAGTTAGGATGGAATCATCACACAGCTATTTACAGCACAAAGTCCCCTTGAAAACTTAACATGTGGTGACTCTAATCGTGCAACAATCTGATCACTTCTAAACTTCTGTAATGTTCAGAGGCGACAATCTCATTTTGGATGAGGCACGTGGAAGTGCAGGAGACATGGCAATACCCCAGCCCTCAAGGTGTGAGGATACAATGAACTAACTCTACGCAGTTATCACTACCATGCAGAGAGTTTCGGCAACCATAAAATTACAGCCATTATATGGTCTGCTTATCTTAACTCTACCACCACAAGATAACTACCAACCGTATTACATGCCTTTCTCAGACATTCATTACCAAGGCATACATTTCATCCCATTTATGACGGTTAGCAAACAGTAAACCTCACAGAAGCTGTACCTGCCCTCCTTGAGAGAGTATCACAAAAGTACCCAGGAGCAAGAAGACAGCCAGGAATGCATGAAGTGTTTTACGAAATACTTAAAACCACACAACAGATGGCCTCACAGGTGTTTTGTTTCACTCATCACCGTTCTTATTGCAAAACTCCCTTTGTTCATAGGCTTTGTTTGCCCACTATTAGGTGTCTAGTACACACTGTAAGACTCCGACAAACAATATCCTATTACCTCACTGTCCTGCCTCAGGCTTGTATAAGAAGTAGACTGGACACAAAAGCCAAGTGGGCTGAAATGGTGAGCCACTGCTATGTCATTTTCAAAGCGTAACCTTGTGCATGTTTATTCAGGAGCAAGTCCCACTACGTTCAATGGGGCTTACTGCCTAGGAAGTGTAGGACAGCAACCTCAAGTTTAATGGGTCCTCTCATACAACACATATATTCACGTCACATTCCCAGCTCTAGCAAGAAGTCAGGATGCAGAAGCAAGTGCATTAGACAACCTAAACAGCCTGTGACAAACAGGTCTGATTTATGCAAGCACTTAAGAAGGAATCCCATCTAAAGCAATCCCACTGATGATGATAATAATTATATTTATATGCCACCCATCTGACTGGGTTGCCCCAGCCAGTTTGGGTGGCTTCCAACCAATTAAAACGTCAAATGCAGAACAACATCAAACATTAAAAACTTCAAATGTCTTCTAAAAGTCATATAGTTGTCTATCTGTTTGACATCTGACGGGAGGGTGTTCCACACGGCAGGCACGGCTACCACGAAGGCCCCTCTGCCTGGTTCTTTGTAACAATTTTTTTTTTTTTTTTTTTTTTAAAGAGGGAACCTCCAGAAGGCCCTTGGAGCTGAAACTCAGCATCTGGGCTGAACAGAAGATATGGTAAGATTTCATGATATGGCAATTTGTAAGTCATTCATTCACTAGGGAGCTTTTTTTAAATTCAAAAATGGTTTTGTGCATGAAAATGGAATGGCAAAGACACTACATGAGGACCTTAACAGAGTGAAAAATAAATGAGTGAATTGACCTTTAAATTGGTGATTAACTTGCACAACAGATTGTACTATGCTGCCTATTGAACCACTCGTTGACTCCAGCTTATCTACAGCAATCAGAAGGTCAACACAAATGTTAAATGTAAGGCCCTGGAGCCTTATTAGAACCTGTGGGATTGCTAAAACAAGTGTCCACTCTTGTGCTGCCTGTAACACACAATTCAAGCATTTAAAAGGTTGTCACGTGACATGCTTGAGGTGCCCTTTGCAACACATTGCTTTCCTTGTACTATGAACTAAATCAACCAGACATCACAAATCAGATTTGATAGTGGACTTATTTCCAAAGCCTTGTTGCTTCCCCACCCTTGCAGGAGTATCTCTTCTCGAGATATACTGTACTCTGGGAAGAGAAAAACTTTCCACAGTTAACAGCAAAAAGAGAATTTTGGGGAAATGCTTTCACCAAAAGCGCAATTGACTTTTTTCCCCCATAGCAAAAAAATACAGTGCCACTGAACATCTGTCAGGTAAGAATTCTGTTCTTATGAGCACCTGTGTTTTACACCCTACTCCAGGTTGTAAGTCCTTTCAATGGGGAAAAAAAAAGGTCCTAGAGTCATCAAAACACAGCGTCTTTGATTTTGAGAATATATTATCTATCTTGAGTTGTTAATTTACTGCTGGTTAATTGTTCTGAAGAAACGCCATGCGTTCAGATAGGCAGGCTACTCCTCTGGCAGGAAAAAATACTGTGCACACTAATTTGAATGAAGATCTTCTATATCAATAGCAAACACATACTCCATGTGTGGGTCATTATCAGCCTCCATCACAGGCTGAGTGGGTTCTAGCTGCTCAGTCCCACTCCCTTGCCTCAGAGGACCTCAGTGGGAACTGTTGCCTGCTATCTGCAGAACAAGTCTTGTCTCCATCACCAGCTAAGTGAGTGCCACTTATTTAGCATAACTCCCTTGTCTCAGATGTCATCAATGAGCTCTGTTGCCTAATAGGAAAGACCAAGGAGGAGGACAGGGAATGCCACCTGCTACCAGGGCCAGATTCAGGTTTGATGAGGCCCTAAGCTACTGAAGTTAATGGGGCCCTTTATATGTCCAGCTGTCCTTTGTCAACAACAAATTGTTTCTGTTTTTTTGTGTTAAATATATGCTATATGGTAATTTATGGACCTAATAGGTCTCTAAAATGATTTTATTTGTTTTTTATCTTATCTTATATTTTATATACATGCAGGTTTTTTTCCTTTAAATTTTTTGGGGTCCCCCAAGAGAGTGGGGCCCTAAGTTATAGCTTGTTTAGCTTATATGTAAATCCAGCACTGCCTGCAACACTCTGTTGGGAATCTCACTTGCCCTACTGATTTCAGCAGCACTAACCTCCAAGTTTAGCAGGCTTGAGCTGCAAACTCTCTGCAAAAGTTCCTAGGGAGTAAGCTGCATTGAACCAAGTTTGACTTAGGCATATTTCTGCACAACTCTAAAATCTGTTTTTATGTGTTTTACATTCTTTGTTAGCTACTCCAATAAGAGCCATACTGAAGGGCATGGTATATATATTTTTTCAAAATAAATAAAATAAGTACTCTCACTTCAAGGTAATCTACCATGTGAGGAAGATGACAGCGCAGTAATTACTTCAGACTTAATGAATGCTGGCAGCTTGTATCAAATTCATTTGTTTCAGTATTTAACCCCAAATCTCTGGGTCATAGTGTTAAGATACACAAATAACAACAACAACAACAACAACAACAACAACAACAACAACAAAACCTAAATTGCTCTATTTCACTGTGTCATAAAGTGGAAGATGAGGGTGTTTTCTTTTTCATATTGCACCAGATTACAGTAGCCTTTTTATTCTATTCCAGTCATTTGCAGCCTAAAAGCAAAAAGAGCCCATTTCATTCTGAAATTCAGCAACCTTTGCCACCTCAGAACTGGTTGCAAGTTACACCCATATCTGGCAGAGAATTAAAAAAAAAGTCACACGGACACTGCTTTTAAAGCTGTGCTGCATGAAAACTCCTAGATCTATCTGCCTACAATCTGGCAAGCTTCATCCACTCTGGAGGGGAGGCTGTGCTTGCAAATTTTATCCACTCCTATGAAAAGTTTTTCAAAAAGTTATAACCACTTTTAGATTCCCTGTCATAGTGTGTGTGTGTGTGTGTGTGTGTGTGTATTTATAGGGGCGGGGGGGGTGACTTTGTTTTCAACATATCTAATTCTGTTCTGCATGAGTCAAAATGGAAAGACACAGAGCAGCCCCAAAACAGATTGGGCTGCTTCCCAAAGCTGCCGATATAGATACAAGTCAAATCTTGTTGCTGGTGCACACCCCTAGAGAATGTTGTCAAAAGATAACAAACTTTCATCCTTATGATTCATGTGCAGTCAACAATAAAGAGATATAATTTAAAGTAGCCTAAGCCACTGAGAAGCATATTACCAGGAAATAAGTGTGTATGGGGATTTGCTCCTGCCTCCAACATTTCTATCAAACAGCCTTTTGCAAAAAACCTCCTTGGAGGGACAGGGCCACACATGGGGCTCCTCTAGCAGCAGCAAGTTCTATGAAATTACTTTAGCGGAAGAGAAAGCTCAATGCCTTGTGGGGCAACTCACAGAGAGTTGACATCTTCTTGCAGTGAATTGGAAAGCACACTCTGAAAGCACCTCTGGGTGTGAACATCAGAATGCACAGCAAGTTCCATGTCAAGTGTCCAGAAGCAGGAAAAAACTGGCCTCGCCATTAATATAACTGGTATGCGCATGGAAGAATGGAGTGTTTATTTTACCATTTACTCAACAATGCCAATCACACATACCGTTGCAAGACAGAAGGCAACGGCTCCCTCTTATGCAGTGAAATATAGCACGGATCTGAATGAAAGCCAATACAATCAAGAAGTCAAATGCTCTCAGAAAATGACAGCCTATTGGATGTATTGCAAGGTTTTCCATCATTCTTCACATATTGGTTGGCTGTGTCAAAGCTGAAGGGTGAAACTTATTCGCCGGTGCCCTCCAACTAAAGTTTGAGAAGTAGCAGCCAAACTGCACGGAGAAGGCAGAAGGCTGATCTTGCCAGTGCCGCAACAGGCTCTCAGCAAAGCACACTCCATCACCTTCTCTGTAGGACTGTATGAGATACAGCACTACTGAAAAAGTGCAAATTTTCATATAGAAATATAGAGGCAAGCCCCTATTTATGCAGAGGTTATGTTCCAAGGCACTGTGCGCACCAGTGAAATCACGCATATTTGAAACACCACCGAAAAAGCCTGCAAGCGCCCTGCTCCACACTTGTTGAAATATACTCAGAGTCGAGAGTGGATTTCATGCTCTTTATTCAGCTCATAGTGGTGAGGAGGAATGAAAGTTCCCCCAGAATGTCTGCTTTATATACATTATTTACACAGTGGGCTTCATGTGATTGGCTAATTCCAGAATTCTCCTGTAGGCCAACCAGGTTGTGGATTCACTTCCATCTGGAGCTGGATTGGGTGGCTCCTGCAGACCAATCAGACTGCTGCATTCTGAATCCTATTGTTCTAGGACCAATCAGACTGCTGCATTTTGGATCCTATTCAACTTGTCCTGCCTCCACACCACTCTAATATTACAAGAGAAGGCAGGGAAACCTTTCCTGAAACTTTAAAAATAAAAATAAAAAATCAGAGCATAACTTAGGACTGAAACCACACTTACAAAGGAGATTGTCATGGACCTTCACTTTTAATGAAACAAAGGAAGTGGCCCTCATATTGCCAAAGTATAACAGAAACCAGGTGAGCATCATTCATCTGACATCCACTTCTCAACTACGGGACCAAGGGAAGCCTACAGAGCAGGAGTCAAGCTTGTCCACCTTCACAAAAAGTGCCTTTTCCCCAATTCAGAGACTTCCATTCAAGCACAAAAGTACAGAATGGAGGGAGTGTGAGCCTGCTTGTGTGCAGAGAAAAGAGTGTAATGTGAAGAATCTGTGGTCACGCTTCACAAGTGCAGAATTAAGTACCGGACACGGAATTTCTGCATGCTAGAAATCTGTGGATATGTTTGTTTACAGCAACATAGAATGGAATGCAGGTGGTGAGGGCAGGATGGGGTTTGACTGCCCAACATAGACCTGAGAGCGGCAGAAACAGAATTATGCAACAGATGCACGTGCAAATTAGCTTCATTTCCCTAACCGATGCAGGCCACAGACTCCAGCGCTTCTCAACACATTGTTTGGGGTATCCTGCTTCAGATTCTGGATTTTTCTTATTAGAACATATGCCACGCCGGTAATGGCAGTCTCGCCCCAGAGTCAAGCTACAAAGGTGCCAGCTGCACTCCTATCCTGCTCCAACTCATCGGAGGGATTAGTAGTAGAGAAAGGAAGAAAGAGAGGCTGCCAGATATGGAGACAAAAAAGAAGTCCGTCTGCTTTCCAAAATAAGCCAAACGTGCTCTGGGAACGGGAAAATCTGACACAATGATGGCAGGCAGCCCAATGCTACACCCATTTCGAGGAGCAGTTATAAAAGCTCGCTCAGTTCAATTCCCAGCCCGTATTTACCTTCCTCCCAATTGAAAAGGCCACTAGTCGGACTGGGTTGATACAAGCCATGCAGTTTTGAGCAGAGCGGTCAATTTGCTTCCATGCCAATTGACAGGGCAGCACACACAAGAAAGGTCACACACAGGCATTGATCGGAGCAGCATTTATCTGGTTCAGTCAGAATTTGTGGAAAGGTGCTAATGGGCACACACGCCAGGGTGAGATTAGGAGCAGTTGTTGCAGTTTGGCCACATCACTAGTACAGGCTGATAACCTGCGCTACTTAAAATGAGAAAATGGTTACACAATACTGCCAGTTGCCCAATGCTTTGCACCTCTGCAACCTGAGAATCCTACTGCAGCAAGTTCTGCTCCTGAGCATATTTGCTATGGGGCTAATATTCTGCTCAAGGTAACACTGCCACAGAAAAGGTATACACACACACACACACACATACACACATACACATACACACACTAGGCAAGAAGGAGGTCAAAGGACAATTCTACATATCTGTTCCAAGAATGGGACAACATTGAGTTCAAAATGTCATCTATTATGAAAAACTAGCCTGTTATTCCAGGCAACAGCCAAAGAAAATCCACATGCAGCGAGTGCTTCTATAGTTTTCTTTAGGATGCCCTGATCTCTGGCGACAAAGTGAATTAAACAGATTAGTAGAAGCTCTCTTTTTCTCTGGAACAGGTCCTCGTCTGGGAAAACACTGTGTGCATTCATCATCCATAAGGTACTCATGTGAAAGTCAAGGTACAAGCAAGTCAAGCTAGGACACAGGTGCCATTGTTTAGACTATTACAATGCACTCTACATGGGTCTGCCCTTGAAGGTGGTTTGAAAGCTGCAGGTAGTGTAAAATGGTACAGCCCAAGTCTTACTGGGTCTGGCAGCTAGGGATCATATAACACCAGGCTTCAAAGATCCACATTGGCTGGCATCAACTATTGACCCCAATTCAGGGTTTGGGTCTTGACATATGAAACCCAAAATGACTTGAGGCCCAGTTATTCAAAGCGGTGACAACCCGTCCATTTTAACCTGTCCACCATGATTTGAGATCTACTGTTAGATCTCCCAGCTTTAAGGGGAGTTGTGGGGATGTATGTGCGAGAGAGAGAGAGGTCTATTACTTGTTGAAAGGCCTTTATAGGAACAGCACCCAATTTGTGCAATGTGCTCGCCTTAGAGTTCCAACTGGCACCAACACTGTTCAACATTAGGGCAACTGTATCAGTCTTGCGTAGATCTCAGACAAGAGACAGACTGTGTTTAACTGTGTTTCGGATAGTTATTTTGTTTCACTATTTTTTATTGTTTAGCCTATTTATTGCTGTAACCTGCCTTGGGAGGTCATAGGACAAAAGCGATACAGTCGTACCCTGGTTTTCGAACGTTTTGGCTCCTGAACACCGCAAACCCGGAAGTGAGCATTCCGGTCGGTGTGTGAATGTTTTTGGGAAGCCAAACGTCCAATCAGAAGCCACACTTTGGTTTTTGAACGTTTTTGAACGGATTCTGTTCGACTTCCAAGGTACGACTGTGTATATATACATTTAAAATAAATACATAAATCTCAAGAATGTTGACTAGAATAGCAAGTTCTGGATGGAAGACCCAATTCTCTTTCATTGTGAGGTTTTTTTTGGGGGGACAGGTGACCAGACACCTGTGAAAGATGCTGTCAATCCAGGTCATTCATCCCAAACTCTCATCACTCAAGTCTCAAAGATTGCAATATTGTGTTGTATGCTAGTAACACATGCTTTAAGAGAACCCTGTGTTCACTGTATGTGGTCCTTCAAATATTTAAGGAATGCAAATAAACAAATATTTTAAATATCTGTGTTTAGGGATACAGAATATGGCTATTGATAGTCAGCACAACCATTTATAGCAGTTTAAATCCAGAATCCCCAATTCTGGAGGGGGGGGGACTGCATTCATTCCATGCTAATTTCTTCCAAAACAGTTTTTAATGATGATAAAAATAAGTATTTAAATGCTCATTTGTCAATAGTTGAGTGCGTAAAAATGAATGGGACTGTGCTGAACCAAAATCGTTTATGGCTAAATTTTAAGTCAAGCAAGGCAACCCATTAGTATTTCCTTTAAAATTATCCCATGAGGTCTAAGAGAGGACATATCCACAAGTACCAGTCAAATAGAAGATGTGGGTACTCTGTTTTGAAAGTAATGCTCACTTTTCAGCATTCCCCCCAAAAACTCCCTAAAAGAGGGTACCCGCACTGCCAAATAACTGCACTGATTATCTACCCCAGGAGTCGGCGACCTAAGACCCATGGGCCGGCAGTGGCCCACAGGGCTCGTCTATCTGGCCCATGACAACCGCTGCCACCCCCCGCTCTTACCGGCGCGGGGACCGACTTCTGGGTTGATGGCGCCTGTGTGCATGCGCACGGGCACTCCTCCGACCCGGATGTGTGCTGGAAATAGCATGTGTGAACGCAACGCGTGTGGGACAGAGAAGCACCCGTGCTCATGCACTATTTCCGGCACACATCCAGGTCGGAGGAGCACCGGAAATAGCGTGTGTGCATCCTCCAATGGCCCATCCTCCAATGGACAGAGCGTAGACCGGCCCATCATCCAGTAAGCTTGCAGACCTCTGATCTAAACAAATGCCCAGCTCTGGGAACCGGAAGTTGGGGATATTTTTGCCTAGCAAAGGTCCCTTGTGAATTGGTGGTTGGGCAATCCAGAAGACAACTCACAGAAGAATTCAGTGTGGCCTCCCCTCGGCTAAGTGGGGTACGGCTTTGTCATTTGATAAGCAAAAAAGCCATTTGACATTTTAATTTTTATTTGGAAAAATCACCAGCATCTATTTTTGCAGAATCGTGGAGTTGGAAAGGAGACCATTTAGTCAAGCCCCCTTCCTCTATCTACGATGCCAGATGTTTCTACAGCATCTCTGTCAGATGGCCACCCATCCTCTTCTTAAATATCCAGAGCAAAGGAGATCCCAGAAATTCCTGAGGCAGTCTGAGGAAGCCTCACCTAATATTTAGCCAAAATATGTTCTCCTGCAATTGCCACTCATTGGTTCTCTGAAGCAAGAAAGAACAAGTCTGTTCCATCTCCTACTATTCAAACACCACTGTCATATCTCTCTTAATCTTCCCTTCTCCTGACGAAATATACCCAGCTTTTTCAACAATTCTTCATAGGATTTAGTTTACATACCCCCATGCCACCCTAGTCCTCTGGACACACTCCTGTTTATGTAGTAGCCAAACAGAGCACAGATTGACCAATGAAGAATAAAAGAACCTGCAATTTCAATGATAATGCTTCTGTTAACATACCCTAAGATTGTCTTGGTTTTTTTTAAAAAAAAAAATCTGGAGCATAAAACATTCGCTGAGTACACATACGTGCTGAGTACAATTCACTGCAGAAATTCCTAGGCACACAAGGTAAAAACTTAAAGCCTCAAACTTATACAAGGGTTACTCTTCACTGATTCAAAGAGAGACGCTGGAACGTTTAAGAATCTGAATGGGCGGCAGAGGTATCAGTAGATGCCTTTAGATGACATACAGATAATATCTGCACACTTCCTATGTCATTTGTGCACATGTAAGCACACACACATCATCACCTAGAAACAGAACTGACCCCTATGCAGGAAAAAAAGGCTAGCAGTAACACACACACACACACACGAGAAAAAGTTTTTCATAAAAGCTCTCTATAGATCTTCCTTCAACAGAAGTCAGCCTTTGAAAGTGGGGGGGGGGGGACGGGGACATTGCCATAATGCAGCCACACTGATTTGTCTCTTCCAAAGTGCACAACCTCAAAATCACTTCCAACTTGCTAGATACCAACTTGGCACAACGTATGGAAAATTTAAGTTCTGCGGTGGCAGGAATTTCACAGTACAATCCCATACATGTCTACTCAATAGTAAGCACCGTCGATTACAACAGTTCTTACTCCCAGGTAAGCAGGTACAGGATCACAGCCTCAGCCATTCTTGCACATTCCAAGCTGTGAGCTCTGGGAGAATCAGCTTCATCCTGGCAGGCCACAGGGTCGATTCTGCTTTGCAGGGGGTTTGTGTGCCTGTGTGTGGCGGGGAACAGTTAGCTTGCAGAATGTAGAGCGAACATCCCTGATTACATACTCAACTGCCACCTGATCCCTGTCCTTTGCCTTTATTTTATTTTGTGCTCATCCCAAAGTTGGGCCCATACTGTGCTGAACTAAAGGTGGCTTTCATGTCAAAGCAGCCATAATAAATTGCTACTATTTCTAATTCCAGTCATTCTCTGCAGAGGTCAGGAGGTGGATGGTACATACACTTGTAACCTCAGCCGTGTTCTGCTGAGCATAATCAGAAGCCCTTGGAGGCCATTCAGAGGCACTGTGTGAGTTTCAAAGGACAATGGTAACAAGACACCTCTTCTCAAGCAGCCCAACTGTGCCGCATAACAATTCCACATCTTTTCAGGAAGCACCTTAAAAGAAATGTGTACTTTTATTTTATTTATAAGGAAAAGAAACACCATACACACAACCAAAATCAAATAAAGATCTTTATATTTGGCCGGCTGGATAAACTAACATAAACTCACAAGTTCAAGATTGTGAGACTTGACTTTTGAAGTCTTTTCACAGCTGCAGAGGAATATTTTTAGGTTTTCCTGAGCTGCAGTTACACTTCTTTGGAATGTAAAAAGTAGAGGACACAACAGAAAGTCGTGGTGGCTTGTGCTGATTGAGACATGGTAGGGTGGAAAACAGGGAAACCAACAGTGGATGGAGCCAGCACCAAATGAAAGGCAGAGCCAAGCAATTCAAGTTTTGTCCCTCATCTTCCTCCTTGTGGTGTTCTGTTGCAAGGACAACTCTGGGAAGGAAGGCAATAGGCAATGCTATTCACTGGATTGATCATAAATAATGAGGCAAATATTTGAGGCCTTGCTAAGGGCAGATTGAGGTTGGTGGGGCAATGTCCCAGTTGCACTAATGGAGCAGCTTCCACTAGCAGAGATGAATAATAATACTAATACTACTACTAAAGGTAAAGGGACCCCTGACCATTAGCTCCAGTTGTGACCGACTCTGGGGTTGCAGCTCTCATCTCGCTTTATTGGCCGAGGGAGCCGGCATACAGCTTCCAGGTCTTGGACCTCAGTGTCCAGGCTGAACAATGGGGTTGGGAGACGCTCTTTCAGGAATATAGAAGATCTAGCCTTGTTCTTCAGAGCCCATGTGATAAGATTTCATGGTATGGCAATTTGTAAGTCATTCATTCACAAGGGAGCTTTTTTAAAAATAAAAAAAAAGATTCTGTGCATGAAAATGGTAAGGTAAAGACACTACATGAGGACCTTAACATAGTCAAAAATAAACGAGTGAATTGATCTTAAAAATCTTGATTAACTTGCACAACAGCTCAGGCTGAACGGTAGGGGTGGAGACCTTAGAAACCAAACTTTTACGCCTCAAGTTGATATTTCACCTATGGAATTCTATAGTAATAGGCTGCTGTTAATTTTATGGACCAGCTCTCCACTACTTCTTCTTTTCCCCCATGAACCATCTGCCTTTCCTTTTCAGTTCTCTCCTCCACCCAGCTTAATCTATAAGAAAGCCACACCAATATCAAATGTCATTCAGCTCTTTCTCAAATAGGAGCAGAGCAGACACAGCGGCTGCAACCAGCTGACTTAGCTGACCTAGGCTCAGAGTAAAAACAGCAGGATAATAAGTCACCAGATGTAAGCAATTGAATACTGATCACTTTCATTAACTGAACGGCTTCCCAAAATTTACCATATTATTTTAACCCTTTAGCGTCCTCTACCAACAGACACCGTGCAACTTGTACTTAAGTGCAGATTTTCACTGTCAGAAAAAGCGAGACAACCGTGAAGCAATCGAATGGCACTTCCAAATCACACAAAGAACAACATTTTTTACTTACTAAGGATTGGACAACTTAAGACTGAGAAGTTCTTACAAACATTCCATTTCACAGGAGCAAAAGGTTATGAGTTGGAAAGTTGCCAAATTCTTGAGAAAAGGGAAATTATTGTGATCAATATTCAGAATGGGATGTTCAATTCTGCTTTTCTTAATTTCTAACTAAACATACAGACCTAGAATTTTAAAAAACAAAAATATGGATCATTAGAAAAAGGTAAAAGTCTTGACAAAGAGGTGTTCTGTTCAAACACTCAAGTCAACTGGTGGGAGTTCAGCCTTTCTTTCTTTTTTAAAGAAGTATTTCATGTATGCAGATCCATATGTTCTGTTGGACTGAAGTCTGCATGTTTCCCATAATATCCATCTATGACATATTTTTGGAAGAAGCCGCTCTACGAAAGCCAGCAACCAACTCCAGGCAAGCAGCAGCAAAGGAAGCTACCTTACACAAAGTCAGAATGCTGATTCCCAGTCACAGACTATACAAGTGTAGGCCTGGTTTGCACACAATGCTAAACCATAGTTTAGCTCTACATGCACAAGTTAGAATGAGCCCAAGCACACCCAACCCTCCCCTCTCCTCCCATGCAACTAGAAGGACTTCTGCAGTATTTAGTTTCACTTGTTATGAATCCTAGAAAGTGAAATCAAGCTGTACTGAAGTGCTTCTCCTAGTGGTCCAGAAAGGAGAGGGAAGTGTGCATATTCAAGGGTTCATTCATTCGAGCTCATTCTATCTTGTCTGCATAGTGTTAAATCATGGTTAAACATTATGTGTCAATATGGCCACTGTTTTCAAATAAGAATATAAATATTTTTAAAATCGACTTACAGAGTCAGGAGAGTGATGTTTGCTGAAACAGGTCCCAAATTTGGTATGGCTTCAAATTCATTACTGTTTAGTTTTCTGCCAACATTAAAAAAAACGAAAACACAAGTCAGCTGACACAGAAACAAGAGCCGATTGGTATTTTCTGATTTTCCCTTGACCATTTTAACCCATCGCACCAACTTAAAGAAGCCCCCCCCCAAGGGAAGTGGGGACAACCTATAGCAACACTGACTTACAGATAGCCTCTGAAACACCTCCCCCCAGTAAGTTATAGCCTCATTTCACATTTTATAATTTTGTGCCCATGCATCACTATGAATACCACCACTCAAAAACATTTAAAGGAATGTCTCTTACATCATGCATATTATAGTCAAACAGAAGAACATGCAGCCACTTACATTTCTCGTAGTTTGCCAAGGTGACTCAAGGAACTAGGCTTGATTGAAGACAATTTATTGTGGCTCAGATCTCTACAAGGATACAACAAGAAGAAAAGCTCTAGTATCAACTTTTACCAATATCAGGTACATTTCAAAGAGAACAAGCAAGTAGCTTGCACAGAAGGAAACTGGATCATATATTGAAATATAACACATAAAATGCACACTGGTTTTGTTGTGCCTCTCCCCTCCATCTACAGATAACCTTGTTATTGTTCTTCTAAGGCAGGTGTGAGGAACTTGTGGCTCTCCATATGCTGTTGGACTGCAACTCCCATCATCCCTTACAGTGCCTTTTCATTCTCCACCATCTGATCCAGGGGTGAGGAACTGGTGACTTGCCCAACGTTTCAGGACTACAAGTCCTATCATCCACAATCACTGGCTATCCTGGCTGGCTGGCTGACTGGGGAGTGCTGAAGGCCCACAGGAAGATACTTTTGCATCCGCTTAAGTTGGTTCAATTAATTGCCAATAAAACACCGTCACAGTTCTACATCTCCAGTATATGAGCCAAACTTTTCCCCCCCCACCATAGAAGTCTAGGGGGCCAAAGACTGTTGTTATAGTCTTGCGACATCTGGCAAATCCAACATAAAGCTGTTGCTCAATTTATGGCTTTCACCTGGTAAGTCTAAATTTGCAAAGTCTAGGTATATTGACGGCTGGGTGGTACGGAAACCTCTCCTCTCCTGTGTTCACGTGTCTTTGCACCATTAATTCTCACACATAAAAATGTTAATGCAAGCCATATGTGAGTAGTGGAAAACAGGCCTGGATAAACACTCCGGCCTCAAGGCATCGGCATTTCGAATGCAAAGCTGAACGAAACAGCCCCATCTGCCACAGATGTGTCTATCCTGCAGCATCCTAAGCCCGCTTCCTCATGTGCATCAGCCGTAATGGATGGAGGCATAAGTCTTTCCAGGGCACCCTTGACGGAACCGAAGAGATGTAGGCCAACTAATTCAACAAGACTGAAACGGTGATCTGAATTAAGCTCACTTTAACACAGAGAGAGGCCTTTCTGCTGCCTTGCGCCTCAGCTGGAATATTTGGCCTTGGCTCACAGGGATTAGAAGAACTATGCAAACCCACAGCCAAAATGCTATGAAGTCATGGCTGTTAAAAGTCTGATACATTAATGTTCATCCTGCATTAGACAAGAATCAGCAATTATTTCAACAAAGAGCTTTCAAAATCCTACTGCAAAAAAGTGCTGTTTCCAACAACCTGCCTTTCTTCAGTTCACCTAAAAAGTAGGAAAGCAGGATGGGGGGGGGAGAGACACCCTATGAAAATTTATTTAAAACATGCTTGTTTGCCTTAGGACCTACCAGACAGTATCAGACATGAGTGGATTTGTTCTGCTGTAGTTATAACATTGGGGCGAGGAAGGGGAGGGGGGGAGAGAGAAATCTGGCAGAGCCTTTAAACTATAAAAATCCTGCAATTACAACCACTGCTGTGCCTGATCACCAAACTGGAGCCAGACACTTTCACTCAGAGCTCAAGCTCACCATCCATCTGGAGTCCATCAAGGCAACCATAAGCATAACAACTTGCATTATGTTTCAGACTAAATTTGTGTTTTCTGACACTGCCGATATCCACAGATTTTCCATGCACTGTGCTACTTTATAAAGGCGGGGATGGGGGGGGTGGAGAGATGCAAATATCCCTCAAAAGCCCTTAAGGTTTCTTAAACCTGATTCGGAAAATTATGACTCCCATCCCAAAAAAAATTACAACGTGCCTTTATTGCTCAACAGCTCAAATCAAACAATTACCAGCACTTTAATAGGTCTTCTTTTTATAGCAGTTTTTACACTATCTAGAATCATCAAGGAGAAGATGACTCTTTTGAAGAGATGAGCATTCCTGCAAAACTGCTAGAAACAGGATGGGAGCTAAAATAATGATATAATCCTTTCTGAAATCAGCTTCTCCCCTGATGTAATAGGTTTTTAAGTGTGCACATTTGTCTTTTTAAAAGGGCAGGAGCAGCAAATACAATTCCTTAAACCAGTAGAAAAAATAATGTGAACAGACCTCCTCCTTATAATTTAGGAGCAGAAGCTGGAATCACAAAAGCGGTGGAAACACATTTTCCACTCCCAATTGCCTCCTCCCTCTTTGCCCTTCCCTTAAACCACAGTACATGGAAAGAAAAATCTCTACAGTGGTTTAAGCTTACTAGTAGCACTTTGAAACTTATAAGGCGGCTGGATTCAGGCATTTCAAGCGCAAGCTTCACTTTTGAAAGCAGAGCACATTTTAAAACGCCATGGTGTTGGTACAAACTCAAAAGTGCAGCTTCCACACTATTCTCACCTTAGAAGACACATAGTGGACTGCTGGCTTGGAAGCTTTTTTCTGCAAATGGAAAGCTCAGGAAGACCTTCTTGAGGGGGAAGCTTCTGCATATGAAACTTCTGGTGCAGTTTTCCTTTCAAAACAGAATTCCCCAATGCACTCTCTGTGACGAATTATGAGAACCAAGTGTGTATAACATAAACTTAAAGGACATTTTAACAACCCTCTGCTAAAAGATAGCAATACTTGCTGCTTTAGTGTATGAATGCAGAAGTTAAACTCATCAGTTAACATTTTTTTCAGTTCACAAACGAACAGAAATAAATATTTATCTAGAGTCGACACTTGAGTCTGACTGACATTTTGGGGGGAGGTACATCAGATAAACAGAAGGGTGTTGTATGTTTTCCATCTCCCTTCTCTACTGCATTAGCAAGGAGGAGAGCATTTGCTTCCAGTTTCAACTAACTATGGTTTGTTGGTATGTGGGGATCTGGTTAGTCTTCAAGCTATGGTTTAGTGTAGCAAGTCATGATCAGAAGAACCAAGGTTTGAACTCTGCTTATTTCCCAAAACTGTGGTTAAGGCAAACCACAGTTAACCTGGTTTCAGAAATATCGATAAACTTCGGTTAGTTAAAGCAAAGGCACTTTTAAGAGATAGCTTACAGGAGGAGGGAAAGTCAGAAAGCAGGACAATCAACATACGCATAAGGCACCGAAGTATTCCACAATTTCAACTTTTAACAATCCTTGGTTTGCAGAATGCTACTAAGCTGTACTAAATAAGGTCTTCCAAGCCTGTGTTTCTGTGCTTGTCCAAGGAATTGCTCACCATGAAGGATGGTGTTATCAGCAATAAGATTCACAAATAATCTCAACAAAGTGAAGTGGTGAAGAAACAGCTCTTCGGACGTTTTATAAATGTGTATGTTAGGGATCAGCGCCATGTGCGCCATTTAGGTGCAATCAATATGGTCTTTCTTGGAAATGCCTGAAACTTAATTCAAAATTTTAAAATGCAAATCCAGCAGCAGCTTCTTAATCAATTCCCATTGGGGCCTTTATAGCTGCTAATTCAGCAAAAAGAAGGAAAGCTAAAAAACAAAGAGGCAGGCTGTAGCTGTTTTAAGACACAGATCCAAAGTGACTCATAAATCAGCATGCTATGTTCAGATTTTAGTCTGGAAAATGCTGAAGAACAGCTGTGAAAACTATCCAAACTTTTTTCCTCTGGCAATTCTGGTAAGAACTGGAAGGTTTAGAAAATGTAAATACCAAGATGTAATACAAACATTAGCAGAAACCATCCTTTAGATTTCCCCCTGTCTCAGTGACAGCTTCAACATTCCTAGACAAACCCTGGTAAAATAATCTAGAATTCCAAAGAGAACTGAAAAAACAGCAAAGATGTATGGCGACTGTTCAGAGTCTCTCTTCCTCTCCCATCCTGGCTGCTAAACTTTAAACCTAACAAAAGCGAAGTTCTTAAACTGTAGAGTGTTTCTCTTGAGCGACTAGCCTCCTGCCCTGAAAGCAGAGGCAAACCGTAAAGAAAATTTGTTGATAAACTATTACAAACACTCACTAGCTCTGAACAGTCTTGGTTTTATTTAAGTCTGTGAATACCTCTTCAGTGAAAGCCTGTAGTAAAAAACTGTGTTAAAATTGGCCACTTTCCCTCACTCGGAGACTTTTGCTATGTCAACTGCAATTACAAGAGTAACCACAACTCAGACAACACGTACAGATAATACAATTTTGGTCCTCCATCAGCCAGTTCAGAAAACAGGTCTGGGATTCGCAGTTGCATCATTTGTTCCAACCCACCACCCGAAATCACATCCAGCAAGAAATTTGAATGTAAGGGAGGGGTGTAAGTTTTTCACTCAGATGGCTACCAGTGTTTAAGATAACAAGAAGAGCCTGCTGGATAGCCCATCTAGTCCATAATCCTGTTCTCACAGCGGCCAACCAGATGCCTGCAAGCAGCATTTGTGAACAAGAGCTCTCTCTCCTCAGAAATGGGGTGGTTGCCTTGAGTGGGAAGAACTAAAGGGACACATGTGATAGGGGAAAACTCTGGTCAAGTGAGAATTAATCAGCATCTCTCTACAGCACGGATTAAGCACTTCTAGGCCTCCAGATGTTGTTGGGGCTCCTATCAGCCCCAGCCAGCATAACCAATGGTCAAGGGCAATGAGAGGTTTACTCACAAAATCATAGAATGTAGTGTTGAAAGTGACCCTGAGGAACATCTAGTCCAACCCTCTGCAATACAGCTGTCCCATACAGGGATCGAACCTGCAACCTCAGCATTCTCAGCTCCACGCTCTCACTAGTTGAGCTATAGTCAAGCAACATCTGGAGGATCCTCACCTCTGCTCTACAGAAGGACCTAAAATTCACTTCAAAAATTTGCACTGCTTAGAGCAGGCATCCCCAAACTCGGCCCTCCAGCTGTTTTGGGACTACAATTCCCATCATCCTTGACCACCGGTCCTGTTAGCTAGGGATGATGGGAGTTGTAGTCCCAAAATGGCTGGAGGGCCGAGTTTGGGGATGCCTGGCTTAGAGTAACTAAGTCTATGAAAAATCTTACTGGAGTTAGCCTGCCATCCCCCCACCCTTGAAGTAAATTCTAGTAGACTACACTAAGCTTACTTCTGAGTAGACATGTATGGGGTTGCACTCTTAGCATGCTATTTCGATCATTTTTACATATCACCTATTCCTTAATATGTTTGCTCAAAAGTAAGCCTGCATTCTGATAAAGCAAGCATAGGATTGCTCTCTTGAAGTCCACACCCCAAGACTACATTCCTTACACATTTGGGAGTAAACACTACTGAACTCTGTGTGGTTTGCTCCCAAGTGTGAAAAGGAATGCAGTCTTGGGCTGAAATGCTAAGCACTCTGGAGAACACATTCCTCTGCACAGTTTACTCAGAAGCAACCCCACTGGAACTTACCTCCCAGTAGATGTGTTTAGAATTACAGACTTTCTGGAAAGTAAGATCCTCTGAAATCAGTAGGAACTCTTCCCTGGGAAATATATTGGTGAGGTGCCAGAGATTTAAGATTTTTGAAGCAAGTAGTTTTGGTTATATAATCAACATGAACTCCCATCACGAATATTTCGGCAAACATGCTTGCAGACTCATATTATTCACAGACAAAACTATCTGGGACAACAGTGATCTATGCTAATAACAACAAACTATTTTGTTTCCTTATTGCCCCTTAACTGCCTAGAGTTCTTTAGCAGTCTCGGTTCTGCTGCATAAGAACAACAGGAGGCAGGAGAAGAAGGCCACATGTCTGCCTGCACGCTTTTTAAGGGGGGTGGAAAAGCAAGTAATGAACAGGAACTTCTAAAAGCATTTAACTCAAACAAAAGAAACATTTGCACAAAACCTAGCAGACCACATGGTCTGGTGACACCTACAAAGATGGTAACCCTGTGAGTTTAAGAACAAGTGACACAGCTGCCCAATGAGTGATCACAGCAGGGTTCCTTACAAAAGGCCAAGTGCTTATTTATACAAGTGGAGCCCATTTTTCACACTTCTTTTAAAGGAATGCGAATGTACATATGGACAATTTACGTCTCCAGGGGAAATCCAATTAGAAAGCTTCCACTGTGCTAACTGAAACAACAAAAGATCTGTTTGTTTTAGTGGCCACTAAATTAACTGTCACAGAGATATCTTGCTATTATTTCTGTTGACCCAATATCCATCTTAGAAAACAACCCTTTAAAATCAGTTTTAATTCCTAATTAGCATTTTTTCTATAAATTACATGCTAGGATTTCCTACCACTTGTTTGTTAGATTGTTACTATTGCACCTTTAACCAGGAAAACTACCATCATATTTGATAAACTTTTGTTGGAAAGTTTATGAGATTTTTTTTGTTTAAAATCAAATCTACAAATAAAAATTGTGACAAACGTTTCTTGTCAAATAATAGCTTGGCCTTTAGATTCTTCAACTATTTGTGGCTCCGATCATATGCACAACTTAAAGGTAAAGGTACCCCTGACCACTAGGTCCAGTCGTGGACGACTCTGGGATTGTGGTGCTCATCTCGCCCTATAGCCCGAGGGTGCCGGTGTTTGTCCGCAGACAGCTTCCGGGTCATGTAGCCAGCATGACTATGCCACTTCTGGAGAACCAGAGCAGCGCACGGAAACACCGTTTACCTTCCCGCCAGAGCGGTACCTATTTATCTACTTGCACTTTGACGTGCTTTCGAACTGCTAGGTGGGCAGGAGCTGGGATCGAACAACGGGAGCTCACCCGATTGTGGGGATTCGAACCACCAACCTTCTGATTGGCAACCCCTAGGCTCTGTGGTTTCCAACTTACCTGGGAGTAAATGCCATTAAACTCAACGGAGCTTACTTTTGAGTAGGGACTGTTCTGTAAATGTTCCACAGAGTCAAACCCAGGTGTTATGAATACAACAGTCACTTTTTCTCAGTAAGGAAGACCTCCAGAGGAGGCAATTGAACAGAATTAGCCAGAACTAATTCAAAGACTTCCTGTTTACTTTAAAGTTCTTATCTGCACTTGCTTCAGAAGTGCAACAGAAAATTAATAAACCAATTGAGATGTGATTGAAATGACAAGAGGTTAAGCTCAATCACACTATTCCAAAGTTTTTCACCTACTTTCTGATTTTAGAAAATTTCCAAGTCTTTGTGGAGGAATCAGTGTGGATACTAGATACTAAAATACCAGCTCAATCATGTCCAGCTCTCATGCTTGTGTTGATGAGTTAATTTAACAACCAGTGGAATCAGTAACTTAGCATAAGAGACTGAAACCCACAGCACAATGAATGAATGCTTGTCAAGTTACAACTACTTTACTGTGTCAATAAATCATCACGTGAACAAAAGCACAAGAGACCACAACTTTTCTAAAACTGCTCTCAGCTTGGAGGAATGTTGCTCAGGGACCATACTGGGTCCCATGTTTGCTTAAACAAGTATCAGCCAGAGCAGTTCTCAAAAATCCTCGTTTTTTTATATAGCCAACATTTGGAGAAAAAACAAGTGGAGTTGGAATGTAGGATACCAGAAACCCTTGTTTTAAAGCAACATATTTAAAATACATTTAATGTGCCTATTAACTCAATGGCATTTTAATACAGTGGTGCCTCGCAAGACGAAATTAATTCGTTCCGTGAGTTTTGCCGTCTTGCGATTTTTTTCGTCTTGCGAAGCACGGTGTCGGGAAAGTTTTGGAAAAGCTTCAAAAATCGCCAAAGTCTTCAAAAACCTCAAAAAAGGCTACCACACCGCGTTCTATGAGTTGCTCCTCGAAGTCAAGTCGCAACTGTATTAATGGTGTTAAGAAAAAGGAAACAAACTTGCAAGACGTTTCCGTCTTGTGAAGCAAGCCCATAGGGAAAATCGTCTTGCGAAGCACCTCAAAAAACAAAAAACCCTTTCGTCTAGCGAGTTTTTTGTCTTGCGAGGCATTCGTCTTGCGAGGTACCACTGTACATATTTTTATTGCTTTTAATTCTCTATGGAATCCTGTATTGTTTCCAAGCCATATTTCTGCATCTTTCTCCAAATAACAGAGACTCCCAGGGCAATGGTTTCTGCACATGAACTAAAGATGTTACAAACTGTAGATCAGCATCCTCCTTGTGTAAAAAGAAACTCTGTTTGGATGCTTCCTAGTGAACATAGCAATTTTCATTATGCATTAGGCTCATCATACATTAAGTTATATGTACATGATATAATAATGCAAATTTCCACATGAAAGTGCCACCCATTTCTTTGACTTTTTAATGTGTCATTATAGGATAACGGCATTGAGGAAATGGAAGGGGGAACAAAATTGCATCATTTTTCCAAGGAAAGGTACAGATCAGTGTTAGAAACTGAAATTTGAAAGCTAGGAGCTACATGGCACCTTAAACCTAGGTTATGGGTGCAAAAACAGAATGTCTAGGCACACTTTTTTATAACAGGAATACAAAGCTGAAAATGAGTGAACTGCAGCTAAAATATTATGTTCATTTTTCACAGCCTTCCCCTACCCACCCACATAATATTCTTAAGAGGGTCTCTTCTCCAGTCTTCAGGGAGTAGCTGGAAGCGGGGAGGCAGAAAAAGGTCCTCCTTTCCTCCCACTTCACAGTTTTAATCTGAAATCTTAGGCGCAATACTGCGCCCAGAGCTCAGAAACTGCTCACACTGAAGAAATTCCCTGTCGCAAAATGCGCCTAGAACAATGGGAGTTTCAGACACAATAGGCCTAGGATATTAACCCTGCCCACTACACTCCTATATGATGTCCATTCTAGAGGGAAGAAATCCACTTTGCCCTACAGACACACAACTAACCACATTTACACATCCCGCTGCCTCAGACCCCACCCCCCACTCAGAAGTTTCAAGTTGGTTACTTGTGCCAGTCAAGACTGACATCTGGAGCTGGTACCCTTAAACGGCTCCAGCATCTCAAGGCCCCGGCACCTGCCAACATGAGAGGTTTGGACCCCTCTCAAGAAGATGAGGTTCCACCCTCTTTGAAGCAATCGTTCCTCTTCACCTCCTCCTCCTCCTCACGGGAGGCAGAAACCAAAGCAAGTGGGAGGTGCTAGGGGCAGCCACTTTCCCCCTCTCTCTCCCTCACCCCACACATAACCTTTCCCTCTGCACAGCAGTGGGAAGAGAACCCAGCCCTGCTTCCAGATGGAGCACCTAGGCGAGGGGGGGCAGCCTGTTCAATGCCACCCTGGCTGCTCCTTCACCCATCCAAGCCCTCCCCTCAGGACCACAACCTTCAAAGGAGCATTAGGCAACTTTGTGAAGACAACCAGCAAATTACTAGTTACGGCAACCGTGAGCTACCTCCAGAAATAGAGGCGGCAGCAGCAACAGAAGAGAGCTATTGCTTTCCTGCCATGCTGAAGCGTCTCCCAGAGGGATTTGATTGACTACCGAAGGGAACAGGATGCTGGAATACATAGGCCTTGGCTCTGAAGTTCTTACAGTGGGTTGGAGTTGCCCCCACCAGGGCCCAACTCCACATGCTGGCCCAAGAGAAGCAGTGGTATCTGTTTTGCTCACCTATGAGCTCCCCACGTGTAGTGCAGCAGCTTGGAGGCACTCCCTCTAGGAAGGCTCAGCAGATTCCACCCATACCTCCCTGTTGCATGAGAGAGAGGCCTCTGCCTTATCTCTCACCTGCTCGCTTTCTAGCTGGCCTCTGGGCAATGCAACAGGCTGAGATTGAGTGCAACAGTCCCAGTTCCACGTCCCAGAGAGAAACAAAGCGAGGGGGTTGTGTTGAGGGGGTGGGATTCCTCCAATGGAGAGGTGGCTCTCCATTATGTTGGCGGGACTCCCAACTCCTATTGGCTCCAGCCAGCGTGGTCTATGGTCGGGGTTGAAGCACTGGTTTTCCACCTCTGCTTTGAAGCCATCCCTGTCACCTGATAGCTCACCCACGGTGGAGCCAGGAACTTCGCTTGGACGCCCTGCCATTTGGGTGGGTTCATCTTTCCCCCCTCCCCTAGTGGCAAAGCACAGACAGTGTGTGGAAGCCGCTAACCTCTAGGAATCAGCCTGCTAAGAGGATGGGGAACACAAGAAGGGCCACTCAAAACTTGCCACTGCCCCTATGTGGTGGTAGCATCTGCCTTGCCCACCACACAAGGTCCTGGGTTCAAACAACCAAGCTTTATTGGCAGACAGAGAAGACAGGAATATATGAATCGAGATGCTTCGAGATAAAACTATACAGGCCTAATAAAGTGAAAAAGCACCGCTCAAGTCTAAGTCCTGGGTTGTCCAAGAGGCCCAAAATCTTGGCGAGCCGCTGTCAGCCCGCGCAGACAACACCGAACTAGCTGGGACTCTGCAAAAGGTTCGTCCCTTCCACACTCCAGCCTATTTTAAACTTATTAAGCGGTGCAGAAATCAAATGAGAACAGGAATAAGAGCACGCGAAAGAATAAATCAAAGCCATTCGCTCCTGGGACGCGGGGAGCCCGGAGCGCCCCCTAGCGCCCCCAAGCCCGGCAGGAGCGAAGCCCGCTCGCCCGCTCTCGCTACTCACAGCTGCATGACCCAGTCCGGGAGAGGCTCGGGCACTCGGCTCAGCTTCAGGCGGCTGCAGTCCAGTAGTTCCCCCCGGCAGCGGCACGGCAGCGCCGGGCACCCTTCGGCCAGCGCCGAGGAGGGGGAGAAGAAGGCGACCAGGCAGCAGCAGCGCAGGAGCAGCGGCGGCAGCGCGGCGCCCATGGCCGGAGCTCCCTTGGCGCGCGTCGGCGCGGCGCGCTTTCCGACGGGGCGGCCGGGCGCGCTCGGAGCGTGTCCCGTTTTGGGGGTGCTGGGCCGGAGGCTCCCTTTCATGGCCGCCTGCCCCCGCTAGACCCGCGGGCGAGGCTCCGCCGCTGCACAGCCAACTCCAGACGCCTCGCCAAACTTTCCGCCGCCGCCGTTGCCTCCTCGTCGCGGCAGCGCCTGCCTGGGCCCGCCCCCTGCCATGTGATGACAACAAGGCGGAGGGCGGGCGCTGGGGAAGAGATGCTCGACGGCAGAGGCAAAGCAGCCGGCCTCGCCGACGGAGCTGCACCGCGCAGCCGAGGCCAGCGGCCCCGCTGTTGGAGGGACAGGGGGCCCAGACCTCCAGGAAGCGCTCCTGGCTTCCCTCTCTTTTCTACCCGCCTTCGAGGCTTTCTACCAAGACCCGTCTGCAGGAAAGAAACGCGCGCAATTTCAAGACGTCTCCCAGTCCGCAAACACCTCTCTCTCTCAGCACAGGAGCCAACTAGCAATGCCCAAGCCGGTGCCAATCTGCTAGGAACTCACCACGAACGCCTCCTTTGTTCTCTTAACATTGCATTGGCACCCATCCGGCTGGAAAAGAAGAAAAGCCCTGCAACAACGGGTGCCATCAGTGCCGGATTTACTTATAAGCTAAACAAGCTATAGCTTAGGGCCCCACTCCCTTGGCCCCCCCCAAAAAAAATTAAAGGAAAAAAACCCTGTACAGTGGTACCTCGGGTTACATACACTTCAGGTTACAGACGCTTCAGGTTACAGACTCCGCTAACCCAGAAATAGTACCTCAGGTTAAGAACTTTGCTTCAGGATGAGAACAGAAATTGTGCTCCGGCGGCAGCGGGAGGCCCCATTAGCTAAAGTGGTGCTTCAGGTTAAGAACAGTTTCAGGTTAAGAACGGACCTCCGGAACGAATTAAGTACTTAACCCGAGGTACCACTGTATGTACATTTCCAAAATATAAGATAAAAAACAAATAGAATAAAACCTACATACAGCAACAGTGTTTTGTGTTGTGTAGGCTCCTATGGTGTAAGCAATGTGCCCCGCCTGCTAGCCTGCTCCCTAAAATATCACTGCTTTGCTCCTTTCTATATATAGGGTACCTACATTCTGCATGGACTGGTTGCATGGCAACATGGGCAAATGGCTTTAGATACCTATTAGGTCCATAAATTACCATATAGCATATATTCAACACAAAAAACGGTGACAATTTGTTGTTGACAAAGGACAGCTGGACATATAATGGGCCCCATTACCTTCAGTAGCTTAGGGCCTCATCAAACCTCTTTGAAGACTTAGGGACAAAGTTTCATGGACATCTACTGCAATTTTTGGGGGGAGGGGTTTGAAGTAATTTTTTCCAAACAAAATGATTCCTCTCACCAGCCCAATCCTGTTACACCCTTACGGCCTCCTTACCAGGTCACCCTTTTAGCTGTGAGCAGGCAGTGGTGCCACTATTGAGCAGGGGCTCCTGCCATTTTAATTTGCCCAAATTGCAGTGCTCCAGCTCATAGATCTGTGAAATACGGTGTTTACTAGGCGTAAACCCTGCTGAACTCAATTTGGTTTACTTCTGAGTAAAATATAGATTAGGATTGTACTGCTAGGGGGACATATACACCCATTTTTTTGTCATGCATATGAACAGTAAACAGTCTATAGAATGCTCTCCCCAGCAAGGCCTGCCTGGCACCTACATTAACATCTTCTTGGTACCAGTTTAGACTGCCTTTATTCCCAGGTATTGATGGCACCTGTTGGGTTTTAGAAGTCTATTGGATATTAGCTGGCTCCTCTGCTGAGAGATAGGTATTTGTAGTGTGGGATATTGTTCTGTTCCTGTTGCTCTGCTTGAAATTGAGTGTTACTTTTCTGTAAGTTGTCTTGAGTCAGTCTTGATATAAAGCATATAAAGCATCTAAGCAATGTAATAAATGATACTATGCAGCAATGAAATGAAATCATGAAATGCAATAATTATTATTTGTTTACATTATAAAGTGATGCAAAAGCATGCAGTACATGTTCTCTTTATATCTTAATTGGATGAAAATAGCATACATCAATGAAGAAAGGCTAGCCTACTGACTGCATAATGCTCCAATTCCTGGAGTTCATAGGAAACTGCTTTAAAAAAACAAAAAACCCACCATTTTTTCCCTTCTTATCTAGAGTGTTGGCAAGGGCAGTGACTCATATGCAAGTGTTAATAGAGGCATTAAGCTTTCAGCTTTCACTTTCAAGAAAAAGAACAGAAACAGAAAAGCTTGTCTGAACTTATCATGCCGATTGAAATATTTTGCATAAGTGTAAACTATAAACGGGTGGGAAGGTTTCAGAAATAAAGAATAAGCATAAACAAACTCTGATCTTTAAGGATCATTTTATAATAACAGGGGCTTAATAAAGCGATATATGCATTACAGATATACTATTAACAAGGCATAGAACTCTTTTAACGTGCTTAAGAAGGAGTGGGAGGCAGCATTGGTAGTTATTATACACCCAAATTAGTGGCATCAATAATGTGCAATGAAATCCTTGTGCTAATTCAGTTCATGCCCCCCTGATGGAATGACAGTACCATAATCTACAAAAAGATGCAGGGTGGAGTTCCTGTTTAGCAGCCATGAACCATCTCCATCACCAGATAATACAATAATTGTTTCATGCAAAAACTGTGTGGCCCAGAACTGGGCAAATACTGGATGTGCTTGGAACTTGTAACTATTTGTGTTATGACAAAATACGGCATATTCTCATGTTAATTCGTATCGAAAACTGTGTTTTGGTGTATGGGGGCAACATCTTCATTAGGCCTTCCAAAATGTCCACAGAGTAATGTGCAGGTTTTCAAGCGCGCCAGAATTCTTCATCAGGCTAGATGTAATAAATGTAGTCGGGTAAGGGAGGAGAGAGAAAGGCTGTTCTAACCATCTGGAGTGAGTCTTTAAGATTGGGCGTGGGAGGAGGTAGCAAGCATTAAAGGATGCTTTGCAGTTCAGGTTGCACCCAGGCCTCCCAGGAAGGATAAAAGATAATGGCAGGTCCTCTCTGTAAATACAGCAGCCGTATGTTAGTTCTGTATCCATTTAGGCAAAACAGAAACATCCTTTTGTAGGTGACAAGCAGGAATAAAGAGAAACTGGACTGTAAAGGTAGCCATATTCACCCATAAGGAATTATGGCACACAACATTTTTGTCATTCTATCACAGGTATTGGCCTGATGATGCATTTTGGAAGTTTTCTCGTGTCTCAACATAGCTACTTTTACCTTTTTTTGTAGCATGTAAACTGCAGGTGGTGGGAGCAGGGGCAGAGGAAGGGGAGTGCGGTGGGAGCAGGCGTCCCGGGTGTCACCACTGAGGGGGGTGACAAAATACCGGGTGGCACTCACCATGGGGCCTGCAGCGCGCCTGAGCCATGCGTCTCTCTTGGGAGTGACACGGTGGCTTGGGCGCCCGCAGCCTCCGCACTGCCCCAAACGGTCAGCTGTAGGGCAGCTGAGAGGGAGGAGGCAGGCAGACTCCTCGAAGGCCCCACGGAGGGTCCTGCCCTGGCTGGCCCCGCCTTGCAGGTGGCTGGCTGGCCCCGCCCCCACAAGTGGCTGGCTTTGCTCCTGGGCGCAGTACGCACGCGCCACCCCAGGCACCTGATCGGCTTGCTCCGCCGCTGGGTGGGAGGTTAGTGGGACGTGATTTAGAGAAGCAAATTGCCTGTTTGGGGGATCACAATTTCACAAACACAAATCCATGAAATCAATATAAGCAAAGGCTATTTCCCAATTGTTTCTTTCCTGGTTGTTTCACAAGAAACAAATCAAATTTAAGCTGCTTAGGTCACCCAGTGTGCTATGAGGCATCGAATGTTAACTTATGTTCTGCAAATCTGAGTTCAAATCATTGGAAGATCATGGGCTAGTTGATCTCTCTCAGTCTATCCAGGGTAGGGCACCTCAGATCTAGCTGCCAAGTGTGGCCCTCCAGGCCTCTCTACCTGGCCCTCAGAACTTTCCCCAGAGCACCTAAATATCCTCCTTAAATGATTTTGCCTGGGTGCAATGGCCCTTGATAATGTCTTCCTTGCCTGGATGCAAGGAAAAACAATAAAACGTATTTAAGAGGGGCGTGTGTATAAACTAGCCTAGTGTACAGAGGCAATGCCCCTCCCAGCATGCGGCCCCTGAAATATTGCCTGGAAGGAAATGTGGCCCTCAGGCGGAAAAAAGGATCCCCACTCTGGAGTAGCCTATCTCACAGGATTTTGGTGATGATAAAAAATAGAACAGCCTCCATGCATATCCATTCTGAAGTCCTTGAACTAACAGGAGCAAAAACACAGAGCAAATTATGTACCAATTTGTTTGGAGAGGATTTAGTTCCTTATTCTACTCTTGAGAAAATAAGTCATTTCTATTTGAGTTCAACAGGAAGCTTGAATGCTATGAGAGACAGGCATGGAATATAGCACATTCCTAGAGCAATCTACAGAGATGAAAGCTAACTACAAGCTAAGGATGAAACAGCCTCTCCCAATCATCTTCAGAAGTGACTTCTACAGGCAGTAGATGGACTGACTTTAATCTTATACGATGGACTTCTTTTAAACTAGAACCCCTGTCCTAGCTCCCACGCAAAACATGACAACAGAGGCTCTTACTTGTGAGTAAGAAAGATAACTTTATTCAGATAAGTAATGGTCCAGGCTCAGCAGCAGGCTTAGGAGTCCAGGAGAAGGGCAAAAAGTTCAGAACTGAATGAAAGCAATAGAGATGTCCCAACAAGTTTCCGTGCTCCTCCCACCAAACTTTTAAAAATGTGGGAATGGTGAGGATGTAGATACACATTGCATCTGGGCAGGTGACTCATGTCCCACCTATGAAGGCAGTGCCTGGATCTTGGCAACAAAGCTGAACCTTTGCCTTCTGCTGCTGTCTGCTGCACAGCCCTGCCCCCACAGTGGTTGGTTGAGGCCCTCCCCAGGCCCCCATGATGCTCTGCACTCTGAAGGAGTGGTGGAGGGGAGGGCCAGGGTTCCTGCTCTCCCTTCCATGGTAGTTGGAGTCAAAAGGAAAGAGCCTCCATTTTCCAATCCCAGTTTCCACAATTCAGCCCCTTTCTCCCTCACTCATCTGCATCTGAGACTGCCAACTCATGCCCAGTCCCAAAGA